GGTAAAACAAGTACAGATCGAAACCTCACATCCTGCAAACTGTATCAATGTGTACAGTAATGTACAGAAACATGCATGCATTTATAATGTGCTGGACAATGAATACTCAATCCCAATTCAATGAAACAAATCAAATAATAATAATTTGTTAGATATTGAGCAATAACAAAACAGCTGCTTTGGCCATGAACCAGAACAGCAAAACTAAATGGTTTAAAGTGGCAACCTGTATGTATTTATACTCAATGTATTCAGTTAGGAAAGGCTTGTAGTTTTCAACATAGAAACATAGAATGGGACGGCAGATAAGAACCATTCGGCCCATCTAGTCTGCCCAATTTTCTAAATACTTTCATTAGTCCCTGGCCTTATCTTATAGTTAGGATAGCCTTATGCCTATCCCACGCATGCAATGGATAGGCACAGTGCTGGAGATCTGCGATCGGGTTTGGATTTTTATCTTGCCCATATATGATCCTCTGGATCAAAATCTATCGCTGTTGCTAGATGTACAGGTAAGTGGGTAAATGGGGTTTAGGAGGATAAGCAGGGACCTCCGGCCCAGTACGTCATTCAGATTTCCCATATTTGTAAGTGTTTTAACTCTACGGCCAACCAAAGCAAATCTTCCAGGGTTTTAACATCGTTGACCCTATGTATCCATTGTGTCACGGTTGATATATTAGTTTATTTCCATATAGTGGGAATTAGGGCATTTGCCTGTCCTAGAATGTTCCATCGAAGCTGCTGCTGGTGTATGTTTGTGAGGGAGTGAGTCAAACCTAGTAGGGCTTGAGAGGTTGTTAGTGTAGGCATACCCAGGAAAAGATTTAGTTTTTTTAATAACCTCAGTAGTTTAGGTCCAATAGGGGTATATTGTAGCACACTGCCACCATAAATAATACAGTGTACCCTCGACTCCAATACATCTCCAGCATATCTCACTGACCCCTGATATCTTTTTTTATTAGTTTTCATGTGTCATCGGGCCAGTTGAGGACATCATAATTCTGGTAAAAATATATGCCTCGCAGAAACCTCAACTCTCTCGATCTCCAGCACTTCTCTACTAAACTCCAAACACTCCTTTTACCCATCTCAAATCACAACTGCCCTTACTCTGCAACCTCACTCTACAACTCCACTCTCTCCTCTCAACTTGACATCATGGCACCTCCTACAGTTAAACGCAGCAAGCGCCCCCAACTACAACCCTGGCACACCAAGCTGACCCGTTACCTCCAAAAATGTTCCAGAACTGCTGAACGCTGCTGGAGAAAGTCTCACTTTGCATCTGACTTTGTCCACTATAAATTTATGCTGCGCTCCTACAGCATGGCTCTTTCCTCTGCAAAAGTAAGCTACGTCAACACCCTCATAAGCACACTGTCCCACCAACCCAAACACCTGTTTCACACTTTTGATGCACTTCTTCGCTCTGTGACTCCCCCTCCTTCCACCACCTTGTCCGCCACAAACTTTGCATCTCATTTCACTGAGAAGATCTCTACAATCTGGAAAGAGATCTCTAATCTTTCTCCAACCAGTATCAATACATCACCCAACCCCAATTCTGAAAAAGCCCAACCTTGATCCCAACTCCCCATCCAACAACCGCCCTATCTCGCTACTGCCATTTGCCTCCAAGATCCTCGAGAGAGTTGTCTACGCCAGATTGACAGACTTTCTCAAATCCAACTCTCTGCTTGACCCCCTTCAGTCTGGATTCCGTGCTGGTCACTCTGTCGAAACTGCTGTGACCAAAGTATCCAACGATTTAATTGCTGCTAAATCTCGCGGCCAATACTCTATCCTAATCCTCCTTGATCTTTCTGCCGCCTTTGACACGGTTGATCATATACAGCTTCTTCACATTCTCCGTAACTTTGGTCTACAGGATACTGCTCTCTCCTGGTGCTCCTCCGACCTCTCCCAGCGCTCTTTCAGTATTTCTTGCTCTGGCTCTGCCTCTTCTCCCCAACCCCTCCCTGTCGGCATCCCCTAAGGTTCTGTCCTCGGCCCCCTACTGTTCTTTCTCTATACTGCCTCCCTTGGTAAACTCATCAGCTCCTTTGGCGTCCAATACTATTTATATGCAGATGACACGCAAATCTACCTGTCCTCCCCTGATCTCTCTCCGCCCACCTTGACTCGTGTTTCTGACTGCCTCTCTGCTATTTCCAACTGGATGGCTGCTCACTTCCTTAAACTCAACCTGTCCAAAACAGAACTTCTAGTGTTTCCTCCCTCAAGTGCTGCTACTCCTGTGTCTCTCCATCCAAGTAAACGGCGCTACTATCACCTCTACCTTCCAGGCTCGCTGCCCAGGGGTTCTTTTTGATTCTGATCTCTCTTTTACTCCCCATGTTTAATCGATAGCTAAATCCTGTCGCTTCCAACTCAAGAACATAGCGCGCATCCGCCCATATCTAACGCCGGACGCGGCTAAGGTACTGGTTCATGCTATTGTTCTCTCTCGCCTTGACTATTGCAATCCCCTTCTCACCGGTCTTACATGTTCCCAGCTTGCAACGCTGCAATCTATATTGAATACGGCTGCGAGGCTTATTTTCCTGTCCGGTCGCACCTCCCATGCCTCCACGCTCTGTCAGTCCCTGCATTGGCTTCCAATTAGATATAGGGCCCAATTCAAAATTCTGGCGCTTGCTTACAAATCCCTACATAATGCTGCTCCAACATACCTATCCTCCCTCATACACAAGTATGTTCCGTCGAGACCCCTGCGCTCAGCCCAAGACCTACGCCTATCCTCTGCCCGGATCTCCACCTCTGATGATCGCCTTCAAGACTTCTCCAGGGCCGCACCTATGCTGTGGAACTCCCTTCCCTCCTCAATCAGACTTTCACCCAGCCTCCACTCCTTCAAAATATCTTTGAAAACTCACTTCTTCATTAAAGCGTATCAATTAAACTGTCAGCAGGTTTCTCATCCCCCACGACTCCGTTCCAGCACTGGTCAAAAATGACCTACCAAGCACTCAATAAACCCTTCTGTAACAAACTATTTAATTCCCCTACTTTAACCCTTTGTGTCACTCTAATAGAAAAATCAAATAGAATAGGGCGCGCCTTGATAAAAATATATAAAATATAACAGTAAAAACGTACAATAAAAATGAGAGTAAAAAGAGTCCAGATATTATAGTCCACAGAATGTTCTTGTAACGTGATGTGGTATCGTCCCAGATGATGATTTTCAATATTTTCAGTAGGTGATATGTGAAGAGATAAAAGGAACAGCCAATGGTACAGTATGTCTGTATAGGTGGGTATATAATAAAAAATAAATGAAATTACTCACAATTTCCAGAGCTTAAATCCAGCTCTGGTATGAAGTGCATGAAGTGGAATGATCCCCACTCAAGGATATATGAGTTCTTTCTTGAAGATGATCCACCAAGGAGTCCAACTGGAAATTTAAGCAGATAAGATATATATATAGTGCTCACTGTTTTATTAAGATTGAGTATATAAATATTATGATAATATACTTGCAGTGTATTGAGCAATCCTCTCTGCTCAATTTTAGGCGTGTGGGTGGTATAATCCCCACCTAAGGATTTTCTTTAGATTCGTGATGGTTCAAATAAGTCAGGTATAAAGATAAAAGTTATAATAAAAACAGGAACGTGGCAATAAAATATATGAGGCCAAAATTCCTTTATTTTTACAATATAAAATATATAAAATAGATTCTAAACGCGTTTCGCCCACAACAGGCTTCTTCAAGTAGAATATAATAAAAAACAGTAACCTGACTAGTAATGCTTTATATAGGGTATGTTAAATGTGCTGGAATTTGAATATTCCCGCCAAAATGACATCATCATAGATTAGAGAATGTAAAATACAGATCAAAACATAACAGTAATATCATTGGCATTTTATTTCAGTATAAATACAATTTATATGTATATAATATAAAAATGAAATGAAGTGAGCGAAATAAATGTTACTGAATGAAAATCACGTGACGTGCGGCGTGGGCTTACTTCCGCGTCACGTGATTTTTAAGCCCAATAAGATACATGCGTTCCACCATTGGAACGCATGTATTGAACGATAGGATGTCGGCCGTGTGAAGATCACGTGACGCGAGGGGTATTTCCGCGTCACGTGATAGCCGCATCCCATAATATACATGCGTTCCACCAATAGAACGCATGTATGTAACGGTAAAAAGCCGGCAAGGTGGGGAAGTAGTGTAGCACCAGGGGGGAGGGACCTTCTGTTTGAAATACATAGAGGTGAGGTAAAGTGAGCATGTTGCCTGCTTAGACAAGTGGCTAGGCAACATGCTCACAGAGAAGGACAAGCCCTCTGGTTCCGAGTTCGAAACCACACACATCCACAGTATAAAGGGGACATATAATAAAATACAAGTTGGAAACCACACACATCTACAGTGCACTCTACCCCACTCACTCCCTCTAGCATGTAAGCTCATCAAGCAGGGTCCTCAACCCCCTCTGTTCCTGTACGTCAATGGTCTGATCTCAGTTATGTGTCTGTTAGTCCACCCATTGTACAGCGCTACGGAATTTGTTGGCGCTATATAAATAATAATAAAATAATAATAATATGCCCAATACCTGTCCGAAATATGGAAGTGAAGAAAAGCACACTGTTTTTTCTGAAAGGGTGCAGTGTTCGTTTCACCCACTTTCCTTTGAATAAGAGAATAGATTTGGGAAAATGGTCTACCTATGAGTACATATGGATTCAATGAAGGTGAGCTCTCTGAGTGGTAGAACGTTTTTACTTTGGAAGGAGACCAACCGGGCATAAAACATTGTCTAGTAATGATGAGTGATGACCCTGACCTTCAAATGTCTCATAGAGATGGGATGGAAATATCCTGTAGGAACTTGCCTAATGTTATTTGCCTATTTCCCACCAGGCGTTGAATTGTCCCAGCTCCCATGTCCCCCAGGAACTCTTGGTTTTCTGCAAGATGTAAAAGAAGCGACAATCCAGGAGATAGGTGTCATAACGTCTCCATTTATGGAGAATGTGTACCACCAATGGGTGTGTATGACTGATGAGAGAGAAATCGAACATATCTGCCACGGTAGCGTTTGTAAAGGCACAATCACAAAGCTCTGTTCTAAGCTATGCCATGATTTCCGTCAGTCTAAAGACGTCTATTCTCGCAGTCTAACAAACAAAACGGCAATGGTACATGTGTGGGAGCCCCAGACCCCCCCTGGGAGCTGTGAGGGTTGAGTGCGCTATTTGAGGCTGTTTTCCTCTCCATATGTAGTTTGTAAAAATTAGCAGGAGCTGCGTGAAAAAGCGTTTTAGGACAGCTATTGACAAGGTCTGTAAAACATAGAGGAGTTTGGGTAAAACCATAATTTTAACAATATTTATGCGTCCAAACAGTGAGATTTGTGACAGGTCCCACGTCTCTAAGTACTGTTTGATATGATCAATTAGATTTTGATGAATGATCAATTAGAGGCCCGTATTTGGTTTTATATAATCTAGCGATGGTTGGTATTATCTGTATACCCAGGTATTTGATGCTCGACTTGGCCTATCTTTGGGTAAAATGTGTCTTGACAGGGGCGGGTATGCCTACTCTCAAGGGTTTTACATTTGTCCATGTTTACTTTACAATTGGAAAAGGATGAGTACAAGTCCAGTTCCTTAACTATGTGTGGGAAAGAGTGAGTCAGATAAGTCACTGAGAGAAGTGAAGGTGTTAAATTGAGAGAATAAAGAGGGAGGCTAAAGGTCAGCCTTGGTGGGTTCCATGCCCTATTGAGAGGGTTGGTAAGTTCTGGCCATTAACTCTAACAGTTACTGACAGATCTATATACAGAGAATTGACCCAGTTTTGGCACTTCATTCCAAGCCCCGATACCTCCAATGTACTAGATCGGACCAGTCCACTCTGTCAAATGCCTTTTTGGCATCAATGGAGAGAAAGGGAAGAGGCACCTTTGATAAGGCCGTCCCGTGCATGAGGTTTAAGATTTTAGTCATATTGTCTCTTGGCTCCCTTCCAGGGACAAACCCCTCTTGATCAGAGTGGACCAGTGGGACAACAGGGGCCTGAGACAAAGCGCTAATGGCTTAGCAAAAATCTTCAGGTCTGTATTAATGAAATCAGTCTAAAGCTGGCACACATTGAGGGGTCTTTCCCTGGCTTGGGTATGACTGTAATAGATGCACAGAGCATCGTGTTTGGCAAATGTGTATCTATGTCTAAGCTATTTAATGCAGATAGTAGGTGTGGAGGGAATTATGAGGAGAAGCACTTAAATGTTAGTCAGACAATCAGGGCCTGGGCTTTAACTCCTGTGTTAGGGATTTTATTGCATCTAGTAATTCTGTTATGGAGTATGGGAATTCTAAGGTTTGTCTCATTTTGTCTGTTAGTTTGTGTGTGTGTTTGTTTTGCAAGTTTTGGGGGATTGTATAGACTTTGATAATATGAGCTGAATGTCCGTGCAATATGCTCAGTGGTATTATGCTGCACCCCTTTAATGTCCTTAATCTTCTGCTATATATATGTGGCTTGATGTCTAGCGTTTTACACTTTTGCTAGGAGCTTGCTGCTTCTATTGCAATAGGTATAGTAAGTACTACGGGTCAGAAATATTGCTAGTCGCGCTTGGGTATCTAATAAACTCTGCAACTCCATACGGAGGGTGGTGAGATACTTCATGACTGTTGGATTCATTTTATGCATCGCTTCCTCAATTTGGATCTTACAGGTGAAGGAGTGCGTTCTCCTAATTCTTTCCTTCCTAATCCTTGACCCCCATTTTAATAGGATTCCCCTTATGGACTTCCCAGGCCAGGTCCATTGAGCTATGGAGTCTAAAAAGGTTAATGTATGATGTAATTAGGTGTTCTCTTTGAAATATAGGTCTGGGGGGCGTGGCTAACTGCTGAGCAACATGGATGTATAATCCCTAGCTCCGGCACATGAGGCTCGGAATCCACTATAATCCACACAATTAGGACACAATCTGCACTCATCTTTGGACATGGCCACGCACAAAAACAGGCTACTGCAAAAGCCGAGAACCTGAATCCGAGGCCTATTACACGTCTACACACCTGAAGTTCCGGCGGACATGCCGCTAGTGGACGGTGTCCACCGGATACTGAGACCCAGGTACTTGCCCGACACTGCTCCACTGGATGTGCTCCTCCGTGCTCACTATTACCATGTCAAGGGGCACATCCTCAGAGCTAGCCACAACAAATCCAAACCATCAGAAGAATACCCAACAATCAAGATATTTGGTGATCTCTTGGCTATAACGCTCCGAAAACGGAAATAATTCTCACAGGTAACCGATTCCATCCGGGCAAATGGCATACGATTTCGATGGGGATGCCACACAAAAATGCTGGTCACGAGAGAAGGCAGCACCACAGTAATCACCTCTCTAGAAGATGGCCTCCGGAAACTGAAGTCGTGGGGAATCTTGGACAACTAACAACAAGACAACCCCATCACCAGTGCCTCACCTCCGGGGAGATTGAGGCTGGAATGGAGTGAAACACAGAGGAAGAAGAACTGACAGCAAACATACTGCAAGTATACATACACTCCAGGATACCCAACAGACAGAACACTGGTGCCAATTACCTCACCACCGCAACACACAGCTATACCATTTCACCCTCTGGGACACAGGGCTGTTCGACTCTGGTTACCGGGACACGAAAAGACACCCACTAAGCTTAAAAAAATAAATAAAATAAAAAAAGGTCAAAACAACATGAATAGGGGCTGGTCAGCAACAGGGCAAATACCTGCACGCAGCAGGCCCTGAATTTCCTGGGATAAGCTCATGAAGTATGAACCCACAAGCTCTCACAGAATTGAGAGCAAGGCCCAAACCCAACCAGTGACCACACACACCAAGCAGACTGATCATGAAGACAATAAACCGGTGTCTCCAAAAGGCCAGGAAACCCAATGCTTAAAACATTGGACTAACATACGGATAAAGCCACAAGAGACCTTATGTAAATAACATTCCGATATCTTCCACGGGCCAAGAACTACGCTCCATCGTAGACATGTAGATGTGCTCCTTTGACTGGACAACAGTCAGGAATGTTGACTTTGATGTAATACTAGAAATAATTATGTACCATAGGCAAAGAGAGAGAGGTAAATGCGGTATAATTTAAGTTTATGTGGAGTCTCCTGAAGGGAACACTGTAGAGGATAGCAAAGGCAACAATGTTACACTATTCCGGGCGAGACCCCAGCGGTCTGCTGCTCGTCACTGGAGGGGAGGCCCTAACACAGCCACAGGAGCACTGGAGGCCGGGACGTGCCGCAATTCCTCACGGTGCTGTCCCAGCTGCCCTGGAGGCTGGGAACAAATGGGAAGTTGGACTGGTTGATGCCTAGCCCACAAGCACAAAGAGTGGTCCAAAAAAAAAAAAAGAAATATAGGTCTGGATGTCCTCTGCTACTCTTGAATCATCTAAAAGAGCCTCATTTCAACACTAAAGTGAGGTGGTTTGGGTTGTCCCCTGAAGAGCCAGGGAGAGAAAGACAGGGACGTTGTCAAACCACGTAATGTTGCCTATAGAGGAATCCATCGACAAATGGAGGTCCTTATAGGCAATATAAAACCTATGCAAATGCGAATATTGCTGGGCTGTGTGCAAAAAGTATGTGTAGTCTCAACCTTAGGGTCTGTTATTCCCCAACATTATATGAGTTGATGGGAATGGAATGTTTTATGAAAGAGTAGCCTTTGGTGCTTTAAAGCATCTCTGCCCCTAGAGGTAGTGTCCAGGGTGCTAAATTCTAATTGCCCCCATAATTAACATGCCCTCTGTGAAGGATTCTAATTTGCATAAGGCATGGTGTATAAAGTGAACCTGGTGAGTTTTAGGGGCATACACAGTTGCTTAATGGTCCCCTTAAAAAAAATGTCCCTGGGGGTTGGTTCTAACATCTTTCAAACGAAATGGAGTATGAGAAGCAAATCGAATCGCCACCCCTCTAGATTTAGCCCCTACAAAATTGCTGTAGAAGGCCTGGCCTATATAGTTAGAAATCTGAGGCTCTTCAGTGCTTTGGACCGCTAAGTGAGTTAATGGGGTGTCCCAGCCTGTTGTACATCTTATGTGGTCTACCTCTACAAGTTCAAAAGAAATCAAAACACAAAAATAACTATACAGTTATAAAATAAAATAAACCTATCAACATCATAGAGATGGTGCAAGACTCATAACAGCTAGTTTGATCCTACACAAGTGCCTATCAGCACCTCTCGAGGTGTAGTGAAATGTTCATTAACTAGCGACTGGACTGGGTAGGCAGTTAATACACCATAAATTACCTTTTAAAGAAGCTTATCACATTAATTGTAAATATTAATCAGGTAGCCTTAAGGGAGTATTCACGTAGCAGGTGTTTGAGTATATAAGGTATAATGGTATCACTATGACACAAACAAATAATAATCCAATAGGCTAAGTAAGGAAATTGACAGAGTCAATCGAAGTGCCTTCAGCTGGAGGGGAAGGAGACTAAATTATGACAGGCCGCAAATATATATGGGACAAGCACACAAACGTAAGCATAACAGATAAAGAAAGGATATGCATATCATATGGAGTTCCTCATTCAGGTCAAGTGAGCTTGGCCCAGGCTCTTTAGTTGCTGCGGTTACCATGCGCCTCATTGTCTTTGGTGACTTTTGTCACCGCTGGTGTTGTAACATTACAGAAACAGAATGTCCCAAACCTGTCCAGTCTTCATTAGGATCCTCACGGAGGTTGAGCTCCTTTGTGTAATGTAGGGAAATCTGCAGGGGTAGAGTTGGAAAGGAGTTTTCCTTGATGCATGATTAAAAAGCGCAACAAGATAGTTTCATTTAAATTTGAGGCCACGGTCTAGGAATACCTTTGTAATAGACTTACGGGGTCTGCTGGCTTATAGTGTAGCTTGCGACAAGTCTACAAAAAGTCAAATCTGTCTGCCCTGAAATGTGAGTTCGGTTTGGAGTCTAGCCCACTTCAGAATTTCCTCCTTTACAGCATAGTGGCAAAGTCGGCATATAATATCGCTCAGCTTGTCCTGGGCTAGCGATTTTGGCCTCATACCCTGTGGGCTCCATCAAATTTGATCACTTTTCCTGGGGGTCAATGCAGGATTTGGTTTAAGAGAGTTTAGAGGGTCTCTGTAATCTCCTCTGCATCCCCATTAGAGGCCTCAGGGATTCCCCTGACCCTTAAAAATTGTTTCACCTGCCCTTGTTGTTGATGTCATCAAGTTTTCTATGAAAGTATAGTAAAACTTAATTTTGCCTGTACAGCAGCTCTTGGACTCCAGTGCAGGGTCGCGTGGACTCTGTGGCCTAGTTGTTGTACTTCTGCATCCACTGCATTGATCTTTTCAGCAACTCTGGTCTCCAGTTCATGCAGCATCTCGGCCATGTCAGCCCGAGATAGGAGTTGTAGGAGTATGGCATGGAGATCTGTATAATTGGTGGAGAGGTCTGAAGCTGTTAGGCTTGGTGGTAGGCTCTCCTGGAGCCATGTGTCTGGCATCATTTTGGAGCTCTATCAGGTGAAAAACCCCTGGAGGAAGGATTTGTCCTGCACCGCTGGTCATGATAGTGTGTTGGCTGAGGCAGCACTTGCTTTCTTGATGCCATAGTGTCTAGTTTTGCTCAGGGAAGGCTCAAGTAACCCAGTGCATGTGTGTGTGGTCCGTCTCGGTGGCCATGTCTCAGAATGTGTTGACATTTGTATTAAAGTATACCTCTTATGGAACACAAAGTATGCGCATTTCACAAAATTACATCACTACATTGTGCTAGACAAATTGCTAGCAAATGTATAAATTGGGAAAAGGTCTTTATCCCACTCTGTACTATTCTTCAGCATAAACCTTTCACAGGTTATCCTCCAGATCTCCATACAAAGCAAGCACACCACATATATTGTGATTGCTGTGGTTACTCCCTAGCTTCAGTTGACTATGCAGTATAGGGACTGATGTGACTCTGTTCAGACGGCGTCATACTAGCAATTAATCCAGAGGAAGTTTGCCTTGCTTGGCAACGTTTCCCCAAGCAAGGCAAATCAAACAAGAGAAGGAGCGGAGTGGAGGCGGACTAGAGGTGGGTATTACAATAATGGCAGAGCTAGACTAGAGGGGAGATGAGTTAATATCTTAATGTTTTTAATTAGATCGTTTATCATTATGTTAGCTGGCAGACCACTCTAAGAACCCTAAGGATTTTCACAAACTTTACTAGACACAGTCATATCTATTAACCTCCCCATCCTTCTGACACATTGTTTTTATTTTCTTGTTTTCCTTTTCACTTTTCTTTTAGATTGTAAGCTGGTTTGAGCAGGGCCTTCTTTACGTCTTATGTCTGTCAAAACGTTTTGTCTGTAAATGACTTGTTAATTATTTGCAATGTATAATTATAAAGCATTGTAAAAAATGTTGGTACTTTATAAATGCTAATAACGTAAAGGATCTCGTTGCAAAAAGACATATGTATAAAAAAAAAATCTTTATTATTTGCAAAACTATTTGAGTTTCATGCATATTCAATTATAAAAATATTTGAGATCACTCCAATTCTCTATTCAGGAATGACTGATCATGAGTTTAAACGTAGCCAAAGCTAAATGCTTGGGATTTTTTTTCAACTTTCGCAGGGTCATTACAACCTTTCATCACTTGAGGAAGATAAAATGAATACTATTAAGTCAAGTAATAATAACATCTTTATCCTAGAGGCAGTCTTGAAAACACAAGAAAATTCTTTCCTTTTAGCAGCCTGAGATTAAATTTGTTTTTGGATCTTTATGCCTTGTGCCTTGCAGAGTAGACCTCTCCATAGCAGTCCAAAACCTAGGATTGTAGTCCACTGATGGGAATGTCAGATGGGCCTCTCCAGGAACTCTGATTTCGGCTCACTTAAGGTCAGTTCTGTGGGCGTCAGAAGTGGACTCTAACAGCGGCCTGTGGCTGGTTGAGCTGAACTGGCTGGACTTGCTGGGACTTTTCCAATATACCAACTAGACTTGTCTGAGTGGGCTGAAGGGCCATCATAAGGGGCCAGCTCGCGCAAAAGCTTTCTGTTGCCATTTACCATTATAATTAGACCTCTAGTGACTTTGTTATGCATTCTGTTGGGTTCCTAGTGGCTTTTTATTTTCTACTTTTTTCCATGTTCTCTCTTTTGTATGTTACTTTATATTGGGTATTGGGAAGGTTTATTTCATTTTAATCTGTTGTTTGGCCCTAACATCTTATTCTGACATCAATATATTACCACGCTGACACACTACTCATGTTTAGCATAGTATCAACCTCATGGCTGTCTCCCATTGCCCCTATGTTGTTAACACATTGGGGTTATTCTCTTAATTTACCCTGGCATTTTTCATGGGCACTGCGCAGTTGGAAAGGCATTGTTAATTTTTAGTTTAGTCCCTCATATTCTTATATGCTGGTAGTGTCTACGCTAACTTATTTTACCAAGCACGTTGTTCTGCTTCCTCATGGTATACTGACATTCGACTTACTCAGCTGTTTTTGCCTAATACCTTATTTTTTCTATTCCTCATTCTCTGCTCATTCTTAGCTAGCATGCAGCCCTAGCAGTGTTTGTCTAATTGTACTTACCTCTTACACCTAGATGGTTCGCTTTTAAAAACAAGGCATTATTACTTTGTATAATTCCGTTACTTTGTATGATTTTATACCTTGTTTGCTAAGTTGATTATACAATAAGGCAAAACGGGAAGCAGACGTACAGAAAGACATTGACTAATGAACTCCGCACACCCACGTAGGCACATGGAAAACCAACGGGCGGAGAGCGAGAAACACACCCACTGAATACAGCACACCACTTACCGAGACACACTACCAGGTCTGACACCACAAACTCGACAACAAAGGTCACAGCAGACAACGACAGAATCAGTGGAAATGTATTTACATCTGCATCCGCACTGACTAACCATGTGCACCCAATGTCTTTGTAAAATATGCCTTTTTCCAAGTGAAACTTCAATAAACACAGAATGTTTAAAAATAAATAAAAAATGAGGCTTTATTTAGCCGTAAATGTCTATTTGTGCTGCCTTTATTGTTTATGGCTTATAGTACTGATGTACAGTGAGGAAAAAAGTATTTGATCCCCTGCTGATTTTGAACGTTTGCCCATTGACAAAGAAATGATCAGTCTATAAATTTAATGGTAGGTGTATTTTAACAGTGAGAGACCGAATAACCCCCCCGAAAAATAAATTCCAAAAAAAACGCATGTCAAAAAAGTTATAAATTGATTTGCATATCTATGAGTGAAATAATTATTTGATCTTAAAGAGAGTGCTCCTAATCGAAGCTCGTTACCTGTATAAAAGACACGTGTCCACAGAAGCAATCAATCAATCAGTTTCCAAACTCTCCACCATGGCCAAGACCAAAGAGCGGTTTAAGGATGTCAGGGACAAGATTGTAGACCTACACAAGGCTGAAATGGGCTAAAAAAACATCGCCAAGCAGCTTGGTGAGAAGGCGACAACAGTTGATGAGATTATTCGCAAATGAAAGAAACACAAAATAACTGTCAATCTCCTTCGGTCTGGTGCTCCATGTAAAAACTCACCTCAGGGAGTTTCAATGATCATGAGAATGGTGAGGAATCAGTACAGATCTACACGGGAGGATCTTGTTAATGATTTCATTCAGCTGGGACCATAGTCACCAAGAAAAAAAATTGGTAATACACTACGCCGTAAAGGACTGAAATCCTGCAGCGGTAGCAAGGTCCCCCTGCTCAAGAAAGCACATGTACAGGCCTGTCTGAAGTTTGCCAATGAACATCTGAATGATTCAGAGGAGAACTGGGTGAAAGTGTTGTGGTCAGATGAAACCGAGATCAAGGTTTTTGGTATCAACTCAACTCGCCATGTTTGGAGGAGGTGGAATGCTGCCTATGACCCCAAAAACACCATCCCCACCATCATACATGGAGGTGGAAACACTATGCTTTGGGGGTGTTTTTCTGCTAAGGGGACAGGACAACTGCACCGCATCAAAGGGATGATGGACGGGGATGTACCATCATATCTTGGGTGAGAACCTCCTTCCCTCGGCCAGGGCAAAGAAAATAGGTCGTGGCTGGGTATTCTAGCATGACAATGACCCAAAAACACACAGCCAAGGCAACAAAAGAGTGGATCAAGAAGAAGCACATTAAGGTCCTGGAGTGGTCTAACCAGTCTCCAGACTTTAATCCCACAGAAAATCTGTGGAGGGAGCTGAAGGTTCAAGTTGCCAAAAGTCCACCTCGAAAACTTAATGACTTGGAGAGGATCTGCAAAGAAGAATGGGACAAAATCCCTCCTGAGATGTGTGCAAACCTGATGGCCAACTATAAGAAACGTCTGACCTCTATGATTGCCAATAAGGGTTTTGCCACCAAGTACTAAGTCGAAGGGGTCAAATACTTATTTTACTCATTGACATGCAAATCAATTTATAACTTTTGACATGCATTTTTCTGGATTTTGTTTTTTTATTCTGTCTCTCACTATTAAAATACACCTACCATTAAAATTATAGACTGACCATTTATATTTAAATCTCTTTGCCTTGTATAGCTATGTCTCAATACAATTTAAATGACAAAAAAAATAAACATTACATAAGCGACATATGCAGGGACCTCACCGGACCAGACTGCCAAAATCCAGCGCAGCATGACTCAGATCCCTGAGGCCAAAGCTGCAAAACAAATGTCTGTGCGGCTGCACACCCCTCAAGGTACCACCGGAGCTGACTCCCGATGTGAAGACACCGCACTCGGGGGCTCCAAAGAAGGGACTCACAACGGCAATAAATGGGACTTCCCAGTACTAGGCATTGGCTGAAACATTCACTGCACAGCCTTACCAGAGTCATGCTCTATCTGACCAGATTACAATACGGCCCCTTCGGGACATCTCTTGCAGCTGCTTAGTAGATAACTCCCTAATTCCCACGGTATTAGGGAGTTCTCTACCAAAAGGCTGAAAGACCTAAATTGGTCTTTCAGACAAATTTACTAATACTAAGTAAAAATTACTTAGTATTAGTAAATTTTGCCCCTACTCACTATACCGCGAGTAGGGGCATGTCTAGCCTGTGGCTGCTCACTGTTAAAAAAATAAATAAAAAAATAGGGTCCCTCCTCCCAAGCCCCCACCCGCGATGCACGAGTTGGGTCTTTTTTAAATTCTTTATTTTAGTTGTGCATGTGATTTTAACAGTCGCTTGTGAGGTACCCCAAAGGCATTCCTCTAGCGCATGATAAACAGTGTAAACATTGGGGTAGACGTGGGGTCTAGCACATTTTTTAAACTTAGTAACGTTATGAACAATACATATTTACGTTGCTTACACATTTCAAAACATAATACGGAACAATATCGCTTGTGTCCTTCTAGATAGTAGGGTTTTACGCTATGTCATAGACAGAAAATAATTATGCGAAACTTACATGGGCAAGATTGAAGTAAAACAGCATATAACCAGATGTTTGCAGGCCATAAGTACATAAGTATTTGGTCACTCATAAATACAGACCTAGTTCACTGACTTAATATGAGTGGATCAGATAAGGTAGCTAAAACCTGGGGGAACTGCTTGTATCTTAAGTAGATGCTGAGCTACAAGCTAGTTATGGTTCACTTGCAGATGTTTGTGCATTTACTGCTCGACTGCCTGTCACGCATGTACCAGTGGGCATAGTTTAATTGCCAACTGTGTGGTTGCAGGCTAGAGAAACCAGCTTATTATGTAAGCTACTGGGATCGAGCTCGCCGTTTTACCGACATACAACTAATTCAGATGCACAGTTGAGTCAAATAGGAGGCATGTAAAATAAAATACAATAAAATAAAATAAGTGGACAACAGGTCTAAAATAAAGCTTAGCTGGTGGCATATCAAGTAGTGTGTAGAAGTTGGCATCTAGGCCGATTTCAGGAGGGTCTGTGACAATGTCCCTTTGGGTGCATATTGTAGAGGCCAGAGTCCAGCACCACTCTCTTTCTGGGGCGTACGAGTTGGGGCTTTTAAACTAAAGGGGGGACCTATTGCCCTCCACCCCTGAGCGGCAGCTGGGGGCCCTACAGTAAAATAAGATGGGGGAGACCTAATGTCCTTCCCCCTGGCCCCTACCCCTGAGCGGTGGGTTGGGGCCCTACAGTAAAATAAGGGGGGGGGGGAATTAGGGAGTTATCTACTTATTCATTCCTGTCATTACACTGACTGGCTAAGTAACTTACATTTTATATGAATGTATGTTACTTGATTGTTCTAAGTGTTGCAAATGCTTACAGCTGAATCCTGGCTATGTTTGTATTCTTTTTATTTAAAATTGTATACAATGTAACATTCTTCTTCTTTCACTGGGTAAGTATATTAGTACTTCGGAAATACTGTGCTTCGGAACTTCGTGACCTCGAAATTCGTCTGAATTCATATTCGGACCAAAACGAATTGCACATGTCTATATAGTAATATCCAAGTATTAAACTGGATGTATGCATAGGACGTAATACATGTCATTAAGTATAATTAAGCAATAATAGTTTGGAAAAGTCCAAACTTAACTGTAGACAATCAGAAAATCGATAATGCCATACTCGAAGACTTACCGTGAAGTCAACTTACCCATATCCAATCAATCCTTGGGTTGGGAGGGAGGGATAATACTTGCCTCCGTGTCATTAATAAAATCATGACTTTGTTATGTTAATAGTAAAATCTGTGAATTTTATTAATACACGGATTCTCCTATTATGCTGGTTTAATACTGGGAAATCAAGTGTTGAATAGGTTGAAAATAAAAATCACAGAAAGTGGAATCTGAAGACCAATCGTCTGCTTTCAAGATATCTTCTAAGTGACAACCAACTGAAGATGCTTTGGAAGCGATTGCTCACTGAACTGAATGGGTCAGAAATATAGACTTATCAATACTGGCTAACCCATTTGACCCATCAAGCCAATGTGGGTTTAGAAACTGAGAGATGAGGCTTTTGGAAGGAGATGAAAAGTTCAGGTTTTGCTGGAGTCCGCAAGATAGTGGTACGAAGTTCATATTCACGTAGGCATGTGACTAGGCATAGGAGAGGTCGATCAGGGAAGGACAGATACAAAACTGATTTGGAGGAAATCTTTGTTCTTCAAGAGATATCGAAGACGACACCTTGAGGAGTAAAGGAACGAGCCATGACATCAAGGGCTCGGACATCAGATACTCTTTTGCAGGAGATTAAACAGAGGAGCATGACTAGTTTGGCTGAAAGTTGTTTGAGTGCTAATAAGGTATTAGTATGCCAAGACTTGAAAAATTGTAGGACAATGTATACGTCCCACAAGATGGAGTATCTAGACAAGGGGGGGTCTAGTGAAATGGATACAGCGGATGAGTCTACATACCAGAGGATGTCAACCGACTAGGATCCCATCCAAATCTTGATGATCAGCAGAAATGGATGACAGGTAGAGGTTCACGGTACGGTAGGCCTTGGCTTAATCGAATATATCCAATGGGCCCCATAGAGACTGGATGTCTTGGAAGACATTGGAATCCAACTGCCAATCGTTCGAATCCTTGAGGTGTCTGGAATACCAGTCTGCCGTGTTGTTGGAGAGGCCAGGGATGTATTCTGCCGTAACTGATATGCCTTCAGCCAGGCAGACTTGCCAAAAGCGCCGTGCCATGTTCACTAGAACGTTCAATTTTGTGCCTCCCAGGTGGTTAATGTATCGGACAGCTGATACATTGTCCATTTTCAGAAGGATAGAGCATTGAGATAGTCGGTGAAAAACTGCAAATGAGCCGGCCAGAAGTTCCAAACAATTGATGTGGAGGTTTGACTCCAAATCTGACCATCTGCCACCAGTGGAAATATATTCGCAGCGAGCCCACAACCGTGTAAGCTCACATCGGACTCTTGGTTGTGCCAAATATGGCGCGACTGTTCCAAGCTTCCATGTGGAAGAACCACTATTGTAGTTCGTCCCTCGCTTCTGAGTCTAGCATGATCATATCAGATGAGAGGCTTGTAGGAGCTGGAGTGCTCGATAATGTAGAGGACCCAGAAAATGGCCTGTATTGAAGCTGCTAGGAGGCCTATCATCCTTGCTAGTTGTTTGAGTGTGTGTTGAAGGGCAGCAAGTGTGCACATGATCTCCTTTCTGATATTGGATAGTTTTTCCTGTGGCAGGTGAAGGGTCTGAAGGGTAGAGTCTATGACAAGACTCATAAATTCTATGAGTCGGGTGGGGACAATGATGGATTTCTTCCAATTGATTAGGAAATCCAGGTTCTGTAATAGTCACAGTTCAGGATAGGTGAGATTTGAGGAGATGAACGGACTGAGCCATAATGAGAATGTCGTCTAGGTATATTATGAGACATATTCCACGACCTCTTAGCAGGGTCACCACTGGCTTCATGAGCTTGGTAAAGCACCATGCGGCTGAGGACAGTCCGAATGGGAGGCAATTAAATCTCCACTTCCGACCTTGCCAAGTGAACTGTAGGAAATTCTGGTGGTGGTGTGCGATAGGCACCGTGAGATATGCGTCTTGCAGATCTAATTTGGCCATCCAAACCGATGGTTGGAGAAGGTCCCATAGACAATGTATCCCTTTCATCTTGAAGTGTTGGTAAAATATATAAGTGTTAAATTGTTTTAGATTGATCACTGGGCGGACACCTCCGCCTTTTTTGGGTACTAAGAACAGTTTTCTCACATAACCCGCGGTAAAGTCGTAATCTCTATGGCTTGTTTGCGCATCAGTTCTGTTATCTCCGTGGAGACAAGCTCTGTGTCCCGCAAACACAATCTCCATTGGAGGGGAGTATTGTATCGGTGGGGATAGTAAATCTATGCAATACCCTTTTACAGTTTGCAGAACTCAAGTGTCTGGAGAAATAAGAGACCATACATGGGAAAAATGTGTGAGTCTGCCCCCCACCACCAATAGGAAAAGTATGGAGATTTTAAAGACTTACCATAAGGTTGTCGTCCTGAAGGAGTGCCTCGTGTGCCACGCGCAACCCAGAGTCGACCAAGTTGTGGGAAGAATGTTGATGCATTTCGCTGCTCAAAGAAGCTGGCTTGCCCAGTGTAGGAGCCCCTGTTCTGTCTGACATAACTTCTATTAACCCAGCCGGACAGGTGGCTCCTGGCTCTTCCTGCCATACCAAAAACATGAGGTTTGAATGCGTTGTGTATGTTTAGCTGCACTTCATCAAGGGCGGTAAAGGTATGTACAAACGAGAATAGTTCCTTTACAAAATTCTCTCGAAAGAGACCTTTAGCCGGTGCCCCCGGATCGTTCAGAGCCATGTTAACCAGTTTAGGCTCAATTTTGAGCAGAATCGATTTGCAACACTCTGTGGCCATCGCAGTGTTGGCATTGCCAACTAAGCATATAATCCTTTGTATCCCACCACGTATGGTGGCACGTTCTAATTCTCTGTCGTCTTCGACCATATCAATATCTCGGCCGACAGGCTCAAGATGTCCAGGATCTTATCCTGGCAGTTACAAAGTGAAAACTCTAAGTATCCTTAGAACGGTCAGTCTCCTCATCATAGGCATCAGAGCCTGGATCAGAAACAACCTCTGAATCATCCCTGTAAGACTCCTCTTCAATGTCACTGAGTTCAGACTCAGAATCTAATTGGGCTTTTGCCCTCTTCCAAAGTCTAGCCGATTTTTGCCCGGCAAGTGACTCTTTTGCGAGGTGGCAGCTTAATCGTGCCATCCGTGACAGGTTCAGAACTGTCCATCTGAATAGATTGTGAGGAGTCTTTTGTTTTGCAAACCGCCTTATGGCCTGCCAAAGGCGTCACCCTTTGATTATGCGGCTGAGCGATCTCTGTGCCTGCAGCAGGGCCTGAGCAAAAGCCTGTGAAAGGGAGTCAGACATAACTCCCATCAGAGACCAGGGCATTGGTCATAGCCTGAGACATAGATGCATCAACTAAGGCCTGCATGTCAGCAGGAACGGTAGAGCCAGCGGAGAGATCCGCTTCATCTCCAGACATACTTGGAGAGTTCTGGAAGTCAATCTGAGCGGGTGTTATAGGCCCAGAGGGAGCTGCGGGATCCCTGTCAGATTTCATTGTTTTAATAGCAATGAAAGAATACGTATTTATCCTAAACAAAAAACAAGGTTGAGTAACCCACAAAGGATACAGGTAACGGGAATAAAAGTTTTACGCACAGTAATAATCACAGAACACAAGAGCCGTCCGACCACCACTAAAGCTAAACCCCAACTCTGAAATCAGGCAGTTGGGGGCAGAGCTTGGGGATAAAAACAATAAAATGGCTGCCGCAAATGCGAAAGTCGCTGCGAACGGCAGATACACACGAACCAGAGTATTGAATGTGGTCTGGAAAATGAAAACTACCGAACACCACGTTTCCCGGCAAAACTCCCCAAAACCTTGTATTTTGAAAGAACGCATGCGCGCGTATGCACAGTGGCAGGTTTGTTACTGATCAAATTTAAATTAAAGATGGGGCGAAAGCACCAAATGGAGGAATAGAGCCCCTAATGTCCCAGAGCCCAGAGGGACATAATATCGAGTATGGAGGTCCAGAGGGAGAACAAAAGTAGAAACAAGGCTACATGAATGACCACAATACACCAATATTCCAAACAAAACATTAAATGAAATAAAACATTAAAGTAGAATAATTAAATAAACTCTAAATGAATAATCAATTAATAACCGTAATTAAATATGAGATTATGTTCTAAAATAGGGATCGACCGATATTGATTTTTTTTTTTTAGAGCCGATACCGATAATCTGTCAACTTTCAGGCCGATAGCCGATAACTTGCCGATATTCTGTACATTTACCATTTGGAAAAAATAAACTATTTCTAAAGGTAAATGCACAAAATATACATGCCACATGTAGTGGATGCAGTTTGTTTAGAAAGGGGAGCTGTGTGTGTTTGTGTAGTGGATGCAGTGTGTATTTGTGTAGTGTGTGTATATAATGAATGCAGGGTGTGTTTGTGTAGTGTGTATATATAGTGAATGCAGAGTGTGTGTAGTGTGCGTAAAGTGAATATAGTGTGTGTAGTGTGCGTAAAGTGAATGTAGTGTGTGTGTGTGTATATAATGAATGCAGAGTGTGTGTTTTGTGTAGTGTGTGTATATAATGAATGCAGAGTGTGTGTTTTGTGTAGTGTGTGTATATAATGAATGCAGAGTGTGTTTGTTTGTGTGTATATAATGCGGTGTGTGTGTGTGTGTATATAATGCAGAGTGTGTGTTTGGGTAGTGTGTGTGTTTGTGTAGTGTTTGTGTGCATTATATATACCCACACACACTACACAAACACACACTCTGCATTATATAGAGTGTGTGTTTGTGTAGTGTGTGTGTTTCTGAAGAGAAGTAATTTGTGTAAAATGGGGGAGGAGGGCATTTTTTATTTTAATTTTTAATATTTATGTTTTACATATATATATATATATATTTTTTTTTGTCCCCCCTCCTTACTTGTTACCTGGCCAGGGAGGGTGGATATGGCAGTCCCTGGTGGTCCAGTGGCTTGTACTGTGTACTGAGCAGTGGGGGGGCCAGCAGCAAGCTGTTACTTACCTCCCAGCAGCTCCTCCAGCTCCCCAGTGTAAATCTCACGGTCTGCGTGCCGTGCGGAGTGTTGCCATGGTAACCCTTAGCAATGCTCTGACAGCCACGGGACTTGCGAGTTTTGACATGGGAGCTGAAGAAAGCTGCTGGGAAGGTAAGTCACAGCTCGCTGCCGGCCCCCCAGGACCGCCCGGCTTGTAATGGGCTTGGCGTTCCTGTTATGTATTATAGGCAATATTGGTATCTTTATTGGCCGATACCGATATTGCCGAAAATAACGAATATCGGCCGATAATATCGGTAAAACCGATAATCGGTCGATCCCTATTTTAAAACCACACAATAAGTAGAATGTCAAGAAAAGGATTCAACAGTTAAGAAAACAGTGGGACCTGGTGTACTTAACTGAGGACGCAGCAAAGAAAGAGGAAGTAGTTTACTGATTGCCGCCTATTATGCTGGGGAGTGGAATCTGATTGGCTGTTCCTGTCGCTAGGAAGATATACTTCTCATGCTATTATTGATATCATACTGAGTTAATGTTATAAGTTTTTCTTTGGAAATAAGGAAAGAGTGCAGCATAATAGGAGCCTCCGTGTCTTAATAAAATCCCAGATTATGTTTACAGTGCCACCACAGTGCAATATCAGAACAATGCAAAAAGAGCTCTCCACCTCTTTAACTATTAAAAGCAAGAGGGAACAAGGTCATTGTGTAGTTAATTTATTATCGGTGTTATTCACTAAAGTGAGAATTCAGAGTCAATTTAAAGTGAATTTAAAATTTAAGGCCAAAGTAGATGAATGGAAAGAATAGCTGACTATTTCTGATTTTTTTGTTTTTGTTTTTTGTATTTTACATTTCTGATATTTGGACCTTAAGTTTGAAATTTACTTTGAATTCTCACTTTAGTGAATAACCCTGAATATATTTACCACTGTGCCCACTATAAGTCAAGCAATAGTGAATTAAATATGCATATCTGAAAGCACAGATACAAATACTGCCACACATGCGGATACACAGAAGCACAGCTACAAGCAGTGCCACACATGTAGATACAGAAACACAGATTCACACATTGACACATATACAAATACACAAACACTGACATGCATACAGATACACAGACACAAAGAAACACTTTTAAAGGAACACTCCAAACCCCTAAAGCACTTTAACTTGCTGAAGTGCTTTATGTTTAAAAAGTGTGTACTCTTTCTTTCCATTTTACAAAAACTGCAGATTTCAACAACACTTTTATAAATTTACTTTGTTATACCTCACTGCGGTCAATCAGACATAGGTTCTTGTCACTTTATGGTTCGGTTAGCTCGATGGAGCTTAAAGGGACACTGGAGGCACCCAGACCACTTCAGCTAATTGAGGGACATCGGCGCTGGATTCAGGTAAGGGGCTGTAGGTAACCCCTTCAGCCCCGCGGGAGGGGGGTCACCATTTACATCCATAGTGCCAGGAAAACGGCTTTGTTTTCCTGGCACTATAGGATGCCTTTAACTCAAGAGGCAGCAATTAATCCGAGCTCCTGGCTTGCTTCTCATTGAGCTGCATTGGGAAGTCTGTGATTGGACAGTCACAGAACATATGGGCTGGATTTGAAGGGGAGGGCTTGCAAAAGCAACAGGCAAGAGATTTGCAGCTTTTGCAAGCTGTTTTTAGATATAACCCCAATTAAAAAAACGCACAATTAAATGGATGCATTACTAAATAGTGATTTATTATTTATTTTGCATTTAGCTAGTGGAATGTCCCTTTAAGAGATTCATATTGGCAGATTATACCATTAAAATAATTATATTGGAATGCCTTCTTCGAACTCTGCACAGCTTTTATTTTTTACAGGAAGCTTGTATGATTTCCGTTACACTACTTTCTGGTTTCCTGCCATAGCATTTAGTCTAGATACAGCAGTGTATTGTGACTAACTTGGATGCAAGCCTCACCCTGATATCAACTACAAAGTGAAATTCAGGGCTGGCTTCACTGATTAGAAAATGAAAATTTCTATAATTAGAGAGAGAACAGAAACCAAGTAGAAAAAGAAATAACATTTCCATAGCATTTTGATTATTTTCTACAAATTTCTCAAAATTAGGACCTACAAGCCGTACAAAACCACAATATAATTTAAACTCACTTTCCATGGTCTTTTCCTTTGTAAATATATTAAAGGACACCGAATGTTTCATAATTTTGGATCTTTACATTTCTGTCTGCTTGTCCAAATACATATCCCTTCAGCCCAGGGTAGAATGGAAAGTAGATACATTTCCTCAAAATGTCTCATTTTGGTGCTTCCATCATCTTTTCTTGTTCTGGTCCTCATCTTAGCGGATTTGTCAGCTTTATCCATTTCAAATAGTTTTCCTGCCATTACTATGGCACATTACATGACAATAATAATATGCCCACACACATCCCTATCCCCGCATATATATGCATTTGAATTGGAGGGTTCCTTTAGAGGTAGAGACACACATACATACTTGTCATATGCAGGGGCAAGTCCAGATTCCAATCTTGGGAAGAGCAACATAGCAACATTATTTTACTGAACTGTGGTATGTGATTAAACACAAAACAAAAAAACAAAACAAAACAAAAAAGCCTGTGTTACATTTCATATTTATCATATGTTATCTGCTAAATTCTCTATTGTAGTGACTTTAAATTTAAATTGTCAAATTAAGGCAAACAGTTAGTTTGGACAACTCTTCAAATTCAGCTGTAGATATACTTGTTTTAGCCTTAATTTTGCTGGTAAGCTGCAATTTGCAATTTAGTCAATAACTCCCTTATAGCACTCCTGTTCCTCTCCTATATTTCTCTTTTCCGAGGTCCAGTGTAGACTGGCAGAAGCTGCAAGGAGAATGCTGGAGTTGAATGGCGTGGGCTTAGGCTTGTATTCTCTCTGCATCCTTTCTCCTGCGCGAAGCGCTATCTGTTGGGAGGATGTATAGCATGATGACCTACTCCCAGCTCAGCATGACCTAGTAGGGGAGACAACCAAACTGCTGCCTCAGTCTACTGTGCAGCACCTGAAATGGCTGCTCAGAGGTGCCAATTGGATGGTCCTGTTTTTGGCCTCTCAAGCTTGCTAGTACAGACAGTGTATGGCAGGCGGGAGGAAGTCCCCTGTAGTGAGCGAGGATCTTGCCGTTTGACTTTGTCCTTAGTTTGGCCCTTTTAATAGTGGTGAGGTTTGGCAGTCTGTGGTCTGGCATAACTTGGATACCAAGAAAACCAACTCTGTGCTACTGACGTTCTCTTGCTATGCAAGACCGGGAATCATTGTGTACAATGGGCAGGAAGCCAGCCATACCCCAGTGGAATTGGAGGGTTTACACTAGAAGAGCAACAAGTAATTAATGATGTGAATTGGTGACAACAATTTTCATAATTGATTATCGATTTTATCGATTAGTTGTTGCAGCTCTAGTAGTCTGTACATATGTTGCTTATGATGCTAGGAGCACACTTGCATCGTTCCCCGGTAATACAGTAAATCATTTTGCAATGCTTTGCCTCTTCCCTGGATCCCGCTGGACGCCGAGCCTGCTTATATGGCGGCTAAGCTGCATCCGGCTTCTGTAGAGCTGCTGATCTTGACTTCCATTCATAATGGTTCAGCCATGGATAAGTGTTTGTTTGTGCACAGAATTGACATTAGCCATTAATCTCATTCTGGGCTAGCTAATGATGATGCCAACAGTGAAGTTAAACCTCTGGTAGATAATCAAAATTTTTATGTATGAGCAGAATCTCTGAAGCGATGATGTTCTATGAAGTAACTCTTAATTTCCACCTTATTACTGTTAATGCTGCTGGAAAAGGAACTGGGTAGACAAAATTGAGCTGCTGCTGATTCACCTGTCCTGACATCATTATGAAGACACCAAGGAAGGTCCGGGCAAAGAAGGGTTCAGTGACAGGCAGTTTTAATGGAACTTTATGGACAAAAATATCAACAATATTTCTACCTCGTATCGATGTCTTTGCCAAGCCTGACGGCTGAGGGCTTGACAAGGCTTGACAAAAGGTAGCTCTTCCTTTTGTCAAGCTTTGTAAAGCATAGGAAAACTACCAAAACAAAGAGGTCCCTACTTTGCCTTAGTAGTTCTATTGACTGGGTTGGACTTCCCTGGAATTCCAAAACGGTCAATGTGAGTATTTGATAAAGATTTTATCTTTATGACTTACTCATTATTTAAATTTTTCAGTTCAGTTTTGAAACAATCTTAGTATGTTAAACTAAAACAATATGTGTGAACAGGCGCTACTTATACAAATAGCTGCACTAAACCAAAATTCTGTGTTCCTCACCACCAACAAAAGAAAGCGAAAACCAAGTGAAGGCGTTGTGCACTTCACCTCTTGAAATAAATAGAAACATTAGTGTGTCAATTATACTTATCTGAATTAGATCTGAACTGGAAAATGTTTTTTTTGGATCCAATATGTCTCAAAAAGAAATCAATATGCAACAATAATGTGTAATAGATGCATACATTGTTCTAAATGTGAAAAATTATCCACTAGATATGTGATATTTCATGTAAGTTAGATCGCTTTAAATATAACAAAAGTAAAGCAAATTACGTATCTGCATACAAACTTCCATTTTTTAAATTAAATAATGCAATAAAAGACACTTACGTACCAAACCGTTATTTCTAACATAGGTTGTGTTACATTAAATATGCATAAGTACACACCACTTGTTTCCTTTAGTTTTAGTATGTTAATTGATCTCCGAGCCTTGGAAGATAGTTTTGAAGCAAATACATGACATTTATAGAAATGTAATTAAATGAGGTTAGGACCTGCCTTAACTGTGTTGCTTTGATATAGCTGTCACAGTTCACTCTTATGTCTAAATTGCCTTGTGCTTATTGGGGGCATGGGGTGACCGGGAAACCCAGGATGGCCTGCCCAGACCAGACTTAAAAAGACTGATTGGCTGTGAGGGTTCCATATGCTAAGCAGTACAGGAATAGGCCCTTGGCACCAGATCAATAGAAGCGGGGGTCTAACACATCAAACTGTACCCAAAGTGAAGACTGTGCAAAGTCTAGCTCAGAGTAGCCAGGTGCAAGATGTTACCAAGGACAGCACAGCATTCAGAGTACTGGCCAAACAACCCAACATAATGGTGGTAGAAAAACAAAAACGGAAGACTGCTGTGTTGTTGGATGTGGCATAACATCAAAAAGAAGGAACATGAGAAGGTGGACTGAAACAGAAGCTAGATAGGATGTGGAGAGTTAAGGCAGTAGTAGTCCTAGTTGTGATAGGAGCACACAGGGGGAGTGAGGGAGTGGCTTCAGTAGATTCCAGGTGAGACATCTGAGATCTCTGTCCAGAAGAGTGCAGTTCTAGAAACAGCCAAGATACTGCATAGAACCCTCAGTCACCCAGGCCTCCTGTAGACAGCTACAGTATACATTTTCAATTTTAGCAACACAATACGAACGTGTTTATCTATTAATCTATTTCCTTATATATTTCGGGGCAATATAATGCACATTGGCACGCCTGTGACATTAACAAAGCATAAATGCATCAGTAACAAAGTCATCAACAAAGCTTATCCAGAGTTGGATTGCGTGTTCTAGTGCCTCAAGGCTGTAATTTGAGGTGATCTTTGCCTTTTGCTTCTCTGGTTACTCTGCCATTCAGAATAGTCACTTTATAACATTACCTGACACATTGATCACAGATTCTCACCAACAAAATCTAAAAGAGCATCGTGAAGAGGAAATGTGAAGATTTCTCTCCAGCTCTTGTTTTTCTGAAGGAGAGAACTACAGTTCCACCTGGACATGAAAGGCCTATTCTGAGTTTGTCAGGCCACACGTTTTGACTAGAAGCCTGTTAATCCTCCAGTCGTACAAAATAGCATGTTGTGAATTGTCATGAAAACATTTAGGAGGGGAGAGTCTCTATAGACACTGGTGACGGCTGGGGGAGTTTATAAAACGTAAAGATTCTATCTAACTAAGGAGTGCCTTTAACCTATTACAGCCTTGAAGTCACTGTGTTCCAAGCACACTGGTTAAAATTCACAGTACTAATGAATTGTATTACTATGAATAAGCATTTTAATTTTAACGCAGTAAAATTTTGATCACACATGAATAACACTTGACATTTAAAACTCAGTAATTTTATAGGGTTACATTCTGAGCTACTAAATACGAGTTGCACTAGGGTGGAAAATAAATAAAGAGGATTTGACTGCCTTCATTGGCGAGGAATGTGTTACCTTTGTTCCTGCAAACATTACAGCTGGTCTAACTTTTAGTGGGAGAGCACAGGTTTGTGAACCTTTGCTCCTAGCCTTACAGAACACTTTGCATGCAGAGAATACAAGGCACTGCAGTCGAACAAAAGGCCTTTGAGAGTTTATACCTGGGAGCTATATTTCCACCCCACCCCGTCTGCCTCCCTGATTACATTGCCTGCTGAGACTCTATTGGCTGTCAAAGAGCATCTGGGAAGGTAATGAAGCAGTTAATGTGGCTACAGATACCTGCTCCCCTACTTATTTCTGGACTCATTCTGACATTAAACTTCGCTCAACCCTTATGTACTTTTGTGCCCCTCCCCCCATATATTAAGACATACCCTGTTTAAGGAGAGCTGCTGGAAGGCAGGTCATCACAGGAATATCTTGTGAGTCACAGTGAAAGAAAAACAGGCACTCCTCCCCCAGATTTGTGCTAAAGCGCATCTATCATTATCTATTTAACTAGAGTATTTCATTAGGGAATGATACCTTTTTTTATTGGACTAACATAATACTTAGAAGACAAGCTTACAATAATTTTCCTCTCTCCCTCAGGCCTAAAGGAATACTGATCAATATGGCAGAGTTTAACACTTAAAATGACTGATGTTATTAGTAAACGGGGTGGAGGGGGTGGCAGGGGGAGGCTGTTGTAAATAGCAGAAGATAGGCTTCAAAGTGAAAAGTGCAGAGTGGTTGAAAACGGCAGAACAACAAAATAAAACAGAGAAGAAATGTTACACAACACATTAAACAGCACAGATTAGCTCTCTCACTCTCTATCTATACACACACACACACATATATATATGTGTGTGTGTGTGTATGTGTGTTTGTGTATGTGTATATAACATAAGTAGAGATTGTAGCCGTATTAGTCCAGTGAGTCTTTCTCAGAAATGCTTTAAACTTGAGAAAGGGAGGTTCTCCCGAAAGCTTGTCAATAAAAAAGGTATTACAAGATACAAATTTTATCTGTATTTTACATCTATATAATGTATTTATAGAGAGAAAGAGAGAGAGTGTGATTGAGTTGTGAGGACTTTTATTTCTACATTTGTTAAAGGAACACAGCAAAACTCCAAGCACCACAACCACTACAACACTCTGACTTCTTACATGGGGTCCTCCCCCACTATTTCGAGGACTTAGCTCAGGGCAGCTAATGGTAGCTTAGGAGCGTCCATCTAAAAGTAGTGGTGATGGAGCTTGGAGTGTTTCTTTAACCCCTTAAGGACGGCAGAGGTGCTATGCCATCCTTGGGGACTCGGCTCAAAAACGCCGGCGGGCAGTATAGCATTTCCACGCCATCCTATGCACTTACCTGCTTGCCAGCGGTCCCATATATATATTTTAATTCTATGTATATATTTATGTAATATTTTTACATAAGTAAGTCATTTTATTAATTACAATTTGCGGGACCTGCCTGATAACCCAGGCAGAAAGTCCAGAGAATTTAATTTGCTAGCACTATATTTAACCCTGTAACTTTCCAAGACACCATAAAACGTTTACATGGGGGGGTACAGTTTTACTCGGGAGACTTTGCTGAACACAAATATTAGTGTTTCAAAACAGTAAAATGTATTAGAACGATGATATCATCAGTGAAAGTGAAGTTTTTTTCATTTTTCACATACAAATGGCACTTACACTGACAATATAATTATTGTTATACCTTTTATGGTTTGAAACACTAATATTTGTGTTCAGCGAAGGCTCCTGAGTATAACAGTATAACAGGCTCATGTACAGGTTTTATGGTATTCGCCAGATTGGATATGTTGCCTTTATTGCCAAACACTGGCCAAAATTGGCGTTCAAATTAGTTTTTTGCATTTTTCACACACAAAAAAATATTAACGCTATCTTTGGCCAGTGTTTGTGACTAAGTGGCTACTAAAAAAGACTGGACATAATACCTTGGGTTGTCTACTATTACAAATGGTATGCCATCATGGGGGTAATTCTCATTACTGGGCTACCATGCGGTCTCAAAGGCAACGTAACCAATCTGGCGAATTTCAATGTGAAAACACTGACAAATTTAACATGCTATATTTTGACCCTGTAACTTCCCAAAACAGCACAAAACCTGTACTTAGGGTGTACTGTTTTACACGTGAGACATCGCTGAATACAAATGTTTATTTATTTATATTTTTATAATTCTTTATTTTCAATGACAGAGATTTCAGGCATGTGAACAGTAATTGGGCTTATGCAAAAGCCAATATTCGTGTTTTACAGCAGTTTCACAGTGATACAGAAAAAAGAGATTGAATTGTTAGATGATAATGCTACTGTTCAGAGTTCTTCCTTGCGGTCTTGTTCTGTCAGGGTTTTTACATTTATATATAAAACAAAACAGATTTAAGTTTTAACCTTAACATAAAAATAGGATGTGTTGCCAACACTTTTATGTGTGGTGTATTTTTTACTTAAGGCGGTGCACACATGCGATAATATCTGGGCTTACGCAGAAGCCACTGTGGTTCTTTTTTTTTCTTTTTTTTTTTTTCTTTGTTATGCAATTTACGTTTACATAAAGAAAAAGTAGTGCTTTAGTACAGTTTACATGTATAGTGAAATTTTTTGGTCAATTCAGTGGTTTATCTGTCAAATTAAGGTTTGCCATGGGTGTATTTTGCAGTTTGGTTGTTGAAGCTTACTGTGAGGTCGTGTGCTGCCTCGTTTGGTGCAGTTATATATATGTATTAGTGTAAAAACATACAAACGGATAGATCTATAAGCAGGAAAACGAAAAACATTTTACTATCGTGACTGTTACCTCTGCTCTGGGTAGCTTCATTATGTGCCCTTTTACTTTTTAATTATGAGTGTTCGTTCAGGTCCCCTGTCACCCCTCCGCATTCTCTTGATATTGCTCCCACAGTTCCCATACCTTCCTACATTTTTGGTGGTGTGTCTGACTAGGTTAACCTGTCCATGAGGTGGTTATCGTTTAATTTTTCTAAGACCAGTGTCAAGGGGGGTGTTTCCAGACAGAGCCATTTTTGTGCTAGTGCCCTTCGGGCCACTAGATAAACCAAGTTAAGTAGTTGTTGCTCTGGGCGTGTAAGGCCGTCTGTCGGCCTGGAGAGGAGGCAGGCCCACTGGTCCATCTGTAGTGGTCTCTGCATTATGTTTGAGCTTAGAGTGATGATTTGAGACCAGTAGGCCTGTACTGTAGGGCATGTCCACCACATATGCACGTATGTGCCCTTTTCCCCGCAGCCTTGCCAGCATAGGTCTGAAGAGGTGATCTGTATACGAAATTGTTTTACTGGGATGGTGTACCATCTGAAAAGATCTGTTAAATGACTGCTCTTGGAGGGTGACACAAATGGATGAACGGCTTTCGCCTCCCAGATGTTCCGCCAGTTGGAGCCCTCTATTTTTTCCCCTATACCACTGGTCCATGTAGCGGAGTTCTTCCCACTCTTTGGCTTCCCTGGTAAGGTGGGAGTATAACAGTGAGATAAGGCCCCTAGGATGTTTTTCCTGGTAGCAAATATTCTCAAACCAGGTGAGAGGGAGGGTTGCTGTCTCTTTTACTTCTTTAGAGCTGGCAAAGTCTCGTAACTGAAGGTAGCGGAAGAAGTCTTTGTTTGTTAGAGGGGATTGTTCCCTGAGGTGGTCATATGTAACTAGTTGGTTATTTTTGTATAAGTGGCAATATCTCTGGAGACCCGCCCTCTCCAGGCTGCCAAAGTCGCCTGCTTTCATACCTGGTGGGAAGGATCTGTTTCTCAGTATTAGGGACATCGGGGAAGGGAACCTGCTTAAGGAGTATTTGGTTGCTATTTGATCCCAGATGTTTAAGGAGTTTGTTATTGGTGGGAAGGCTATTCTGGGAAGTGCTCTGTGTGTCTTATGTAACCAGGGATAAAACTGTGGTAGGTCTTGACCCTTTAGTGAGGATTCCAGCTCCACCCATCGTCGGGTGTCTGGTGTTGAGTGCCAGTATGCTATTTGGGCCGTTTGCGCGGCCAAGTAGTATATGTACAGGTTCAGTAGTCCTAGCCCCCCTTTATCCTTGGTCGGTACAGCAGTTTTCTAGCTATCCTGGGGCGTTTTTTGTGCCAAATAAACATATCTATAGCTCTCTGGAGTGAGGATAAGTCGCTCCTCTTAATTGATGTGGGCAGGGCTTGAAACATGAACAGCAGTCTAGGGAGAATATTAATCTTTACTGAATGGAGCCTCCCTAGCCATGAGATAGGCTTGTCTGTCCACTGCTCCAGGTCCCTCTGGAGTGCGCGCATTAGCGGGGTGTAGTTAGTCTCGTGTAGTTGTTCGTGCTGTGCTGTGAGTTTAACCCCTAGATACGGTATGTTGTCTGTGTTGATGGGTAGGAGATGTCTGTCTTGTATTGATTCTCTTTCATGGGTCGGGATATGAAACGGTAGGGCTGTGGATTTAGTGAGGTTCACCTTGTATCCTGATAGGGCCCCATATGTGTCTAAGAGGCTCTTCAGTTGGTCTATGGAGGTCTGGGGATCTGTGAGAGTCAGCAGCACATCGTCCGCGTACGCTGATACTTTGAAAGTGTTTCTCGCTATTTTAATTCCCTGTATGTGTGGGTGTTGGCGTATGGCTTGTAGTATCGGTTCAAGGGAGATAGCGAACAGCAGTGGCGACAATGGGCAGCCCTTGCGCGTTCCGTTGTGACGGGGGAAAGGAGTCCTGGGGGCTGCTGCAATTAGGGTCTTGGCTCTCAGGTTGGTGTACAGGGCGCGTATGGCTTGGATGTAAGCTCCTGGGAAGCCCCACTCTTCAAGTAGACTGAACAGGTATGGCCACTGCACCCTATCAAAGGCATTCTCCGCGTCCACTTTTGATTTCTGCATGTACCATGCCAGGACTGCCCCCCTACGCGTGTTTTCATTTAGTTGCGTTACCGGGGATAAACCCCACCTGATCTGGATGGATTATGCGTGTGAGCATAGGTGCCAGCCGGATCGCCAGGATCTTCGCGTATACTTTGAGATCCGAGTTTATCAGGGAGATGGGTCTATAATTCGCTGCGTGTTCAGCATCTTCCCCCAGTTTTGGAATGAGTGTGATATTTGCTAGTGCCATGTCTGTGTCTGCCGCTATGCCTGTCATGAAGTGGTTGTACAAGGAGGTAAGATGGGGGGCTAGGTCCTCTTTGAATATTTTGTAGTACCCTATTTCATATCCATCGGGACCTGGGGCCTTGTTTCCTTTCAGTACTGCTATAGCTGTTTCTACCTCTAATCGGGAGATAGGTTCTTGTAAGATCGTGAGGTCTTCGTCTGTGATCGCAGGGAGTTTTATGTTAGCGAGCAAGGCTCGTAGTGAAGTATATATTTGCCCCGGTGTACTCTGTGGGTGTTGGGTCTGTCCATAGAGCTTCGAGTAGAACTCTGTGAAAACCCATTTTATGTCTTGTGGGGTGGTTGTTGCCTGTTCCTGAGTGTGTGTACGTATTTTTGTGATGGGCTTGTGGTCCCTTCGGGGGTGCAGCGTTCTGGCTAGTAGAGAGTCCATTTTATTGGACTTTTCATAGAAGAGTCGCTTAGACCTCTGAATGGAGTGCGCTACCCCCTCGAGTAGGACCCCCCTGATTGCATGTCGTAGTGATGTGAGTTCTGCGAATTTCCAGCTGTGGGGTTTTGTTTATGCTGTTGTTCTAATCTTCTCAGTGTATCCTGATAGTCTATAAGGGTGTTACATTTCTTTTTGTGTGTTGCTACTTTTATAAAGTGTCCCCTCATGACCGCTTTGTGTGCTGCCCAGATCGCCACGGGGCCCACCTGCGGTGTAGTGTTTTGTGTGAAATAGTCTTTGATTCGGGTGCGCGTATCGTCACATATCGTTTCACTGTTTAGTAAGCTAGTGTTTAGGAGCCAGGTCCAAGTGGCGGAGTATTTGATTTGTCTAGTGTGATAGAAATATCTGCATGATCCGACCAGGTGATACTGCCTATGTCAGTGTGCGTGAGCTTGGACATCCCAACTCCGTTTAAGAATATGTGGTCGATTCTAGAGTATGTGCCGTGGGGCGCTGAATAGAACGTGTAGTCACGAGTGTTTGGATGCTGGAGCCTCCAGGCGTCCAGTAACTGAGTGTTAGTAAGAAAGGTGTGCAATAGTTTATCCTGCGCACCTCTCCCATGGGACCTGGGCGAGACCGTTTTCGTGCTTCTATCAATTGCTGGGCTTGGCACAGTGTTGAAGTTGCCCCGCACTACTGTTATCCCTCCCCCGTCTGCGTTCATTATTGTCGTGAGGTTGTCCCAGTATGAGGGGGCTGGAACGTTAGGGGCGTATACGTTGAGGATCCTTATTTTTGTGCTGTGTGGCATGCCTGTTATTGAAATATAACGGCCCTCCGGGTCTGCCTGTGTCCCTGTCACTTGGAGTGGGCAGTTTTTGTGCGCCAATATTGTCACTCCGGCCCGTTTGTGTAGTGCTCTCGCCTCATGAGACTGGGGGTATTGTCTGTCCTTCAGTGTTATCGGTGCTGTCTTAGGGATATGGGTTTCTTGAATTAGGGCAATGTCGGTTTTGCGTGCCTTCAGGTCTCTAAGCAGGAGCCTGCGTTTATTTGAGGTGTTTAGTCCCTTGACTTGAGGGAAACTATTTTTAGCGCCATTTAAGGTCGGGGCCCTAGAGGAGTGGTGATAAACGGGTGTGGTCTCCTATTTGGTTATGTGCTCTGACTCCCTCTTCCATGGTTGGGGTACTCTGGTCTGGGTCCTGGGCAGTCGTACCTGTGTTTTGTGTCGTAACCTTCTCTAGGGACTACGTTTGGGTTGCCGGTTGGGGCCCACCTGTGCGTTGGGTCTTCTGTTGCAAATGGTGGATCGGTTGGTTCCGCCTAAACTGAGGATACGTGTGGTGTAGAGGTGTTGGTGCAGCCTTTATGACTGCGGTAGCGTGTGTGCTGTGTTGTTAGTGTGTGGCGTGCATGTTTTGGATGGTGAGCAGGCATTTATGTTTTTTTATGCTCGGTTGTTGCTGGAAGTGTACATGAGTTCAATTGCTGTGTGCTGGGGTGAGATGTGTGAAATGGATAGGGGCTAAGTTCCAGGGTGCTTGTATCTTGTTTTCCCAGAGGTTGGAGCTAGACACAGTTCTCTGATATATACATATGTATATACATACATATACGCACACATACATATACATACTTTTTTTTATGTTATTTTTTTTATATGTTATAATATAAACATATATATGGTGCGTGAGGGTCTTACCCCTCCTGGGTGTATTCTTGTGTGGGTGAAGCGGCAGTGGTAGTCCACCGGCCTCCTCCTCTCTATGCGGGGTCAGGGAGTTAGCATATGTTACTGTATACAATATACAACCACACTTCAGAGGCAAAACAGTATATACATGCACATACGACCTGATCTGTGTAAGTTTCTCTTGCTCCGTATTGTAACTTGGAAGAGAGGTTTGGAGGTAAACGTCCCGGTTACAGGTCCGGCCCAGCTTTCTTGCATGTCCACAGCTGTTTGTTAGTGGTCTGTTTCTTTGGTTATAGAGGGGAATGCGTTGGAGCCAGTCGGTCGGGAGCTTGCGTAGTGTGCCAGGGGTATACCTTCGTTTACGGTTTGAGTCCATCCTCTCGGTTCCGGTGCGGGGATGGTTACAAGTAGTCCCTGGAAAGTCCTAGTTTAGGTTATGGTCTCTTCATGTCCGCTGAGTGGACCAGCAGTCCTCTTCTCTTTGGTCGATAGTTGATTCCTTCCTCTGTCTCTGGTGAGCGTCTTCTCTGATCCCTTGGCTTTCTGTTGAAGGTCTGTGCTGGATCCATCGCATACCAGTCCATTATGCGTACTTCATTAAGTTTGAGCGCTTTGATGAAAGTTGTCACGTCTCTGTAATCTGTTATAGTGTTGTTAGCCCCTTTGAGTGTAACAATGAGAGCTAGGGGGAAAACCCAATCTGTATCTTATATTTCTTGCACGTGCCTGAAATGGTGAGCCAGGAGGGATCTTGGTAAATTTTGATCTCGTGTCTGTGGAACAGCAGCGGTGGGTTGGTGTCCCTCAATTTCTTAAGTATTCGTAGTGTAGTAGTGTAACCGACATATGATGTCTCTTGGGGCGTCCCCATTGTTGCTCTTAGGCCAGAGTGAGCAGTGCGCTCTATCAAGATGGATCGCGTTGCTACTGGTTGCTCTAAAAGTAAGTTGAATAATTCTTGCAGTGATGCTGGGAGATCCTCGGCCTCTGTTTCAGGTAAGCCCTTATTTCTGAGGTTGTTTCTGCGCCCCCTATTGTCTGTCATCCAGTAATCTTTGCAGCTGTGACATTTGTGTTTCGTGGGTGCCTAAGCGGTCTGACACAGTGTCTAGTTGTGTATGCATCTGTTCCCTGTCTTTCTCCAGGTCTTGGACACGGAGGCCTACCTGCTGTACGTCAGGATCCCAGGCCCTCCATTTTACGTTGGAAGGAGGTTTCCAGTTTCTCCAACATTGCTGTGAGATCAGCCTTGGAGGGTAGGTTCCTGAGCAGCTCTTTAATATCTGGGTCTGCCGACATTACTGATGTCTCTGAGGCTGATGGGCTGGGAGGATTGGAGAGGCACTCTCCTGCGGTCGACGCCATGGTTGCCTCCCCCTGTCCCGCCATGCAGCCGACGTGGTCTTTGAAGTATTTTGTTACCGAGCCCGGTTTCTCGGTGGGTGCTTTCCCACCGCTTGTGTGGGTGCTCTGCGACCTTTTGGGGTTCCCCATGTTTAATTGTGCCTGTGTTCCAGCTCGTTTGAGTGCCTGCTCTGCCGGAGCCAGACTAACATGCAGCCATTTCTTCCGACGGTCGGTCACGCCCCCCAAATATGTGTATTTTATTGCAGTAAAAGCAAACCGTATTATGACATTCACAGTTAAAATGTCATGCGGAACTAAAAAAATAACAATTTCTTAATTTCTCAATTTGTTTTTTTATTTTATTCATATTAAATTGTTTCATAGCTAAATATTGATGTTAAATGAAAGCCCTATTTATCCTGAATAAAATGATTTATAATAAGTGTAGGTGCACTTAATATGACAGAGATGAACGGTTGAACAGACATATAGTCAAATTCCAAGTTTAAGTTTTATTTTGATCATAACGTGTACATTTGGCTCAGTCCTTAAGGGGTTAAATATAGGAGATAAGTAAACATAATATTAAAAAATAGACCCGTGATGCATAAAAGGCAGAGTTAACAATGTCAGGAAGACACTTTCATTGGGTGTCATATTTTCATTACTCAGCTCAGGTGAAAGTCATATTTTTAGCTCATTACAGTAGACCATATAGGGCTTCCTTAAAATCTGTAATTTGGGATATTACTGTTACCCTTTAGCACACTGACTGTTAATGAACAAGAATGTCAATGACAAATGTTAGTGCATAAAGTATTCTGTGGAAAACACAGGTTAATCCCTAGAAATAGAGTACCTTCAGCTGGTCATGGCAGAAAACAAAGAGAACCTGTACTTACCTAGACACAGGAAGCTTCTTTAAATAGTTAATTCACATACAGTTTACACATCTCTGGTCTCCTTGCTATCTTTCTGCTAACTGAAAACCACAATTTTTACCACCCTTATGTTTGATTCAGTGGTGCTACACCTTATCATTATTGGTATTTATATAACGACAACTTATTCCACAGCGCATTACAATATTTTGAATGGGAGGAGATTTAACTATAAATGAGACATTTACAAAATGATATAAGAAAAATAGGTAGATGAGGACTCTGCACAAACGAACTTGCAGCATGTACCAGCATGCAGAGGATTCTGTGTGGTAGTAGTTCAAGTCAAGAGTTTAAGTGAAATACTTCTTAATAAATGTATAGCCCAAAGAGTTCAGAGCAAAATATCTCCGTATCACTGCAGAACCAAAATTCAGCCAATTGTGGAACTGGAAAGTTTACTTGCAAAATCTGCATGAAAACCCAAAGCAGTGTGACGCTCTCGGGCCCGGCGAGAGCTTTTTCTCTGGCTTTTTCTCCAACAATTTGAGTGCGTTTAATATTGATAGTTTTACATGTTTAAAGAGACTGCTTGTAAACTTTTGTGTTTGGGAAAGCTGTATATGCCATGTGAATGGGAAAAGGCTGTTTGTGTTGTGTTTGTGAGGAGACATGAGACATTAATCTGGCCAACTGCCCCACTTAAATACAAAACAAGGATGCAGTAAAACACGCCCAGAACACTCCCACAAATTCCTGTGTCAGAGTGAGTCTGCATAAAAACATAAAATATCAAAATACATAAAAAATCCATAAAAAACATCTAGGAACCCCTACAAATTATATAGCCCTGATCTGAGTGCCCAAGTTCTCCAAATAACGCTCAGATCCATGCAGTGTAGGGGAAACGCCACCGTGTGGAAGTTCTGACCGGCCGCACACATGGTCCTATGCGCAAAACATTTCCTGTGCGTTTGGTGCTTTTGCCGGCCAGCTTCCAGGAGCTCCGGCGGCCGCAATACGGGCTGCTCCGGCTGGCTCCTAGGTAGCGTTTGCTCCCCTTAGTCTCAGGCACCAAGGAGGCTGGGGAGATTTAACTCCCGAACAGGGTCTTTGTATGTGTCCCACAGTCCTTGGGCAGGAGGCTAGCTAGCAGGCTCCTCAAGGAGTTTGTGACAAACGTTCAGGGTAAGGAGCGTTTGTCACATATCTTCCTCCTCCTGGGGAGACTAACCAGACCCCAGATCTCCAATAGGTCTGGGTCTGTGTTAGTCTGGTTGACTTTTCCAAAAGGTGCAGTGATCCAGAGGGCCTCCTGCCACAAGCACCCGTTTATGCATCCAGGGTCTTTCTGGGAAGGGCAACTGCTAAAATCCACTCCTGAAAAACCACACTGTTGCTGGGGAGGGGGGGAATGAAGAAACTATGCGCTCCCTGTTGTATGTACTGCTGCTGGATAATGAGACAGACCACCTCCACCCCTAGTGAAGCTTGCTTCTGCTGGGGAGAGGGACTAAAAATCTCCTCTCCTTGTAACTCTGGCTGCTGCTGGGGAGAGAGACAGGTTGTCTCCTCTCCCTGCCTGGTACACTGCCGCTGGGGAGGGAGACGGGCTGTCTGTTGCTGGGTAGTGAGACGGACTATCTCCACTACCAGGGATGCTTGCTGCTGTTGGGATAAGGGGCCGACAATCTGTCATACTGTCTGGTGCTGGGTAGGGAGACCGACTATCTCCACTCCCAGTGATGCTCGCTGCTGCTGGGGAGAGGGACCGAAAAATCTCCTCTCCCTGTAACTCTGGCTGCCACTGGGGAGCGAGACCGGTTGTCTCCTCTCCCTTTAAAGGACCACTATAGGCACCCAGACCACTTCAGCTTAATGAAGTGGTCTGGGTGCCTGGTCCAGCTAGGGTTAACCCTTTTTTTTTATAAACATAGCAGTTTCAGAGAAACTTATGTTTATAAATAGGTTAAACCAGCCTCTAAAGCCTCTAGTGGCTGTCTCATTGACAGCCGCTAGAGGCGCTTGCGTGCTTCTCACTGTGAAAATCACAGTGAGAAGACGCCAGGGTCCATAGGAAAGCATTGTAAATGCTTTCCTATGAACTGGCTGAATGTGCGCGCGGCTCCTGCCGCACATGCACATTCAGCCGATGACGTCGCTAGGAAGGAGGAGAGGAGGAGGAAAGCTCCCCGTCCGGCGCTGGAGAAAGGTGAGTGTTTAACCCATTCCTCTCCCCAGAGCCCGGTGGGAGGGGGATCCTGAGGGTGGGGGCACCCTCAGGGCACTATAGTGCCAGGAAAACGAGTATGTTTTCCTGGCACTATAGTGGTCCTTTAACTCATACTGCCGCTGGAGAGTGAGACCGAGGATGCTTGCTGCTGCTGGGTTGAGGGACCAACAATCTCCTCTCCCTGTGATGCTGCTTTGTGGGGATATTTATGGGATAATAGTCAACAGTGAGAATTGCCCACTAATTCAATTCTCAGATCCCAAAGATCGTTATCGTGTTAAGTGAAAAGTATTTCATATAAATAAATCACAATGTTATAAAAATAGATTTATTTTATAATAACAAATTAATTAATAATAATATGTAACATGCGTGACAATAATCAATTAGTATTTAGTACAACATAGTATGCAATGGAATGGGTATACACGTTTCAATGGCTAAACAGCATTTTCTGTCAAGACTTACACGATTTATGAGGTATCCTTACAGACATAGAAAGCGGAGCTTTTCACAGCGAAGGGCCATAAAACCCTGGCTAACAGTTAGATCAACTGAATAACCCTTTCAATGCTGGCTAGATCTCCTAGGTAATTAAGATCTATTCTTATGTAATTTTAAATAAAATAACATTTAAACCAGTTCATTAGTCATTTCCTGGAACCATCCAATAAGAGAATCTACCAGATTTTTACAAAAGCAGAATTTAATTTGTCTAAAAGATATCTTATCTTATATTAGAGCAAATCAATACACCTGGATAAAAACAGCGGTATGCTAACACGTGATACTATCACATTAATATATAATTATTCTTAATTCCACCTGCAGAATGGAATGTTTATAACTATATATTCTTTAGTTAACTAAGATTTCATAATATGGAAATCTGACCGTGATTTATCCAGTCATATATCATGCTATTAGTACATTTTAATTAATTTAATTAATTAAATGAAACCAGTATAATTACCAGTTGAGTAGATATTTTATCCGATTGGTAGATAGTCTCAGGAACTTATTTGGATGTCTGTAGGTGCATGAGTTATGGTGAAAGGTGGTGTTGGTTAGAAAGTCAGTAAAATTCTAAGTGTTAGAGTTTTAAGAGTAAAGTGTTAGTCTCAGATGTTGTCCTGGGTTTCTCTGCATGTCCGATTTGGAGTCCCCAAACTTCCAATTCCTCTTCTCTCTTTTCCTCTTCCCTTTGTCTTAACTTTTAAAGGGCCAGACTCTCTGTACGTCATTAGTTGATAACCCAATAGGCACACTGGAGGTGTGTCCAATCTAGGGATCGCAATTTAGGTATTTGATCTATAGAGGGCAGTCTTGTCCCACTAAATATACCTATCCAGGAAAGAGTTAACTTTCGTCATTTTGGCTTATCTATATGGTTGCCATAATTTAAGTTTTCTGTCAGATCAAACAGTTTCTTTAAGTTTTGTCCAGACTATGTGTCTGGCAAATTCTGCTATAATTTCTAATATGACAGTTATAACTAAGTTTTGACCTGTAACTTACAATGGGATCTTGTACATATAGGAAGTAAAATTTTATTATTTAATCTCCTCTGTCACAAATGTCTGTGTTTAGATATGCATCTATTCCATTAGCATTTAGACAGTCTATCCAACCCCCGTTCTCCTTATCACTTGGTTTGTATATACTATGCATTCCTTTAGCTCTGGGAAAGTGGTTAGTTTTACAGATAGAAATCTTGTTTCTTTTGTTAGCTTGAAAATAACAAAATGGAGTCTGCTCTGTTCAAAAGTGACTCAGCATATACACTTTTAATTTCTATCATAGCACAAGATGTCTGGCGATATAAATACCCTGACAGCTTGGTGCTGGGTAGTGAGACCGACTATCTCCACTCCCAGGTATGCTTGCTGCTGCTGGGATGAGGGACTGACAGTCTCCTCTCCCTGTGATGCTGCTTGGTGCTGGGTAGTGACACCGACTATCTCTACTCCCAGGGATGCTTGCTGCTAAGCTGCTTTGCCTAGGTTCTGTTATTCCTGCTGCAGTTCCCATTCTATAGCGACCAGGTGGGTGAAATCTGGTCCCAGGTCTGTAGTATTAGGGAGCTCCAGTGCGTCCATATGATAATTCCTGATGGCCCAATACCGAGACTCTTCCGTTCTGCTGAAGTCACTGTCCTCCTCCAAAGCCTCCCATAGTAGACCAGGGCCATTGTAGTCCTCACCCCCGGTCTTTCGTTCTCCGCCCTTCACGGGCACCTTTGGACCGAGTACCACTGTAGTGCTCGTTCAGCCACAGTTCCTTCTTGATCAGCCGCTGGAATTCTATAATCCACTCTTCCAGGGGCAGATACTCCAGTAAAGGCAGCCTCAGCACTGTTTACTTTCTGCCTGCGCTGTTCTGAACTGGGAAGGCCTCGTGCCAGAGATCTCGCCGTATGCTTTCTTTCCAGGCCAGCTCCTCCTCAGCTGAAATATGGCCATGCACCTGGGTCAGTGCGCCTTGTAGTCTCTCCTGGAACTCCTCCTCATATGGGGATGCTCCCCGGGGGCTAGCTCACTCCATCTCCCGAGTTCCTCTGCAGACAGGGACGCTGCTGGGCCCTTCACTGTGCTTCCTGGTTTGGGATACCCATTTGGGAGTAAGAAATCCCTCCGCTTGCCACCAATGTAACGGATTTCCCTCTGTGTATATCCACTGTAGTTCTCCCAAATCCCCAGTGAAGCAGTGATTATAGCTCCCAATTCCCCAAACATCAGTCTAGACTTGATGAAGGGTAGAAACGAATGTGTTTAATCTGGCCAACTGGCCCACTTATATACAAAACAAGGATGCAGCAAAAGACGCCCAGAACACTTCCACAAAATGTCCACAAATTCCTGTGTTGGAGTGACTCAGCATAAAAACATAAAATATCAAAATACATACAAAATACAAAATAAATAGGAACCCCAACAAATTATATATCATTAAATAGCCCTATCTGAGCGCCCAAGTTCTCCAAATAGCGCTCAGATCCATGCAGTATAAGGGAAATGCCACTGTGTGGAAGTTTTGACCGGCCAAACACATGGTCCAATGCCCAAAACATATCCTGGTCGTTTCGTGCCTTTGCAGGTCTACTTCTGGGAGCTCCTGCGGCTGCAATACAGGGTGCTCATGCTGGCTCCTAGGTAGCGTTTGTTCCCCTTAGTCTCAGGCACCCAGGGAAAGCTGGTAATGGAGGCTGGGGAGATTTAACTCCCGAACAGGGTCTTTGTATGTGTCCCATAGTCCTTGGGCAGGAGGCTAGCCAGCAGGCTCTTCCAGGAGTTTGTAACAAACGTTCAGGGTAAGGAGTGTTTGTCACACTTGGTATCCTATCTTTTGTCCTTTCCTGTGCTGTGCATACCTGTGAAGTAAGGTGCATTACACAGGCGGCTCCCACTGACCTCAGTGTTGACTCTCGCGATAATCAACACTGAGGAGCAGTGACACACGACTTCAGGAAATGGTGCTGTGCTGGAGTGAGGTGACTACATACATACCCAGCCAATGGCAAAATTGACAAAGGCTGTGGACCATGGGCATGCGTGTGGGTGTTCGCATACCATCATGTATACCCTTATACACCCTACGTGTCAGCTGATCTATAACCAGATATCTATGGTGCAATATGTTTAGTTTAAATGTATTTAACTATAATCACCACAAAGTGTAAACAATAAAAACTGGGATATATTTACCTCACAGGAAATTATGTGTATATATATATATATATATATAACATTAATTCAAATAGATAAAAAACAAGAGATAAAAAATATATAGTGTAGTATTTTAATGCATAGAAAAATCTAAAAACCTATGTATATATAAGTAAAAAAGCACAATAGGAAATTGTGCAAAAAGCATAGGTACCACAAGGTACCCAAACCAATCACTCACATATTCTCACACATAACTATTCAAATACATCACACAAAGATGACAACACTTATAATCACCCCACATGTTCCCTTGCACACAGCCTTCTAATAAATATTCTCGGTGTACACTATAATGAAATGTGCTGCGCATGCCTATGCCATAGACTAAAGATTCACAGTTTGTCAACCTGATTGTTCTACATAATGAAAGGAAGTCTTTGCTTTTCCTTATGTATAACGTTGCAAAAATGAAAAGATATTTAATTTTTAAATAATAGAGTGAGGGATGGGGGGCCCTTGTCTATTACAAAAAAAAAGTGACAGAGACACTTTAATAGATGTGCTATAAAAAGAAGTCTTATCAGTATAATGTCTAACACTTTCAAACATTCACTTATTTATGTGCGTGAATTTTTTCCTAAAACTGGTGGAACATTGAAAAGGGAGTTCAAATATTAGGCAAAAACAGACAAATTGGATATATCCTTTGACTCACCCAGGTTTCCAGTGTGGTCAGTTTCTGGCAATTCATTTCATATTATATTACATACAAAACATTTCATACATGGATATTTTTCAGATCAATACCCTCTTTCTGTTCTATTATTACAGAGAAATGGACCAACCCTGCTCATCTTCTTCAGAGTAGCTTGTGCCACAGTCTGTACCAAATAATCACTCTATTTATTTCTCACATTTTGCCTTGAAAGGAAATGAAGGACTCTCTTGTTCTTCGGACACTGTAGTTCTTTGGAGTGAGAAGAACAAGTCAAGGAGAGGATGTTGATGAGATCTCAAGGAGCAGATGTTTTTGTTGGGTCGATCATCTGTTTCCAGAACTGTACAATCCTGTCTATCAATGTATTTTGCAAGTTTTTCTAACATGTTGAATAGTCTTTCAGATAAGCCTTTTAACAGATCATAAAAGTAATATGAGTTCTAACTAAAGACTAGATATTTAATAAACCTATTAAACCTGTTAAATAGAAATAATTACATAAAATTATGTAGACCAATATGAAGACCTATATAATAAATACATTGATTTACATATATTGATTATAACATGGCAGGCAATGGAATTCTCATGAAAAATATAAAATTTCATTACAAAAACTCAATTTAATGTGGAAATTACATATGAAAATAAAAATGTGTGCTTTAATAAAACCTTAAAATATTATGTCCGTGTTATATTGGCAGATGCAAGCAATGCATTTTTAATGTTGTTAGGCATGAATTTTGTCAAAGATTGCAATTTTTTAATTGTATCACAACCTTGTTTTCAAATTGTGAAGCTGCCAGTGCCAAAGGTATCCTAGTGCATTGCTGTAAACTGTGTTACAGTACTCTTGTCTATATGTGTGGACGAGGAGCACTCTAGCTTGCATGCTTCCTTCGCTTCTAACCCAGTCCAGACATTCTGTGGCTGTCCAATCAGCCTTCTCAATGAGAAGTGCTCTGGACAATTTTCTGTCCTTGCGTTTAACTCCACTGAGCGAAACAACCAGGAAGTAACAGAACTGATTGTCTGATTGACAGATAGGAGGGGGTGTAACAAAGTTAGTTTTAAAAAAGTGCCAATTTTAAGTGAAATTTGCACTTTTTGTAAAAATAAAATATATATACACAAAAAGAGGACACACTCTTTACACATAAAGCACTCCAGCTTGCTCTGGGGGTCTGGAGTGTTCCTTTAAGAGATATTCGCGGTTACCTAAATATTGACAGCAATACCTTTCCTCCTGACTACAACTTTGAAATCAAATGTGGCCATTTGTAATGATGTGAGTTATACATTAGCATTTCACATTTCTTTTTTTATACAAATGTGTCTGAATATCAGTTGATCTTTGCCCTTTGTGTGTGGCTTTGGCTCTGTTCAGTTTCTTTTAATATTATTAGTTTGCTTGTCTATGTCACAATTCCGCATTTAGTAAAGCTACACACAATGTAGCATTTAACTCTGTTATACCCAGGTAGAGGAAATATGCTACTTCATTCCAATATGAAACACAAATTTAGCTCCAAATAAAAAATAAAAAAAAGAGTTGGAACAAATAGATTTCATGTATGTGGTGCAATTACTTAATATTCATTGCAAGCCTGGCTGATGTATGGGAACACTCCAAGGTTAAGGTCGGTCAAGACTGCCATCTGGGAGTGACTGGACCATATTGCAGAAGTCGACTGGACCAGGCACCTTACTGAACTGCACTCTTCTTCACACTGTAGCAGTGTTGCAAGGAAGTGATGTAAATGCATTTCCTCCCAGTGCTTATGGCAAAATGTTACACCCTCTCCTATAAAGAATGGTGGCAAAATAAAACATTCAAATGTGTATGTGTGTGTGTTTGTAGTAGGGTGTATGTGTGAGTAGCAGTGTATTTGTGTAGCAACATGTGTGTGTACAACAGAATAGGTATACAGCAGTGTATATACCTATTCAGTTGTACACACGCATGTTGCTGTGTGTGTGTAGTAGTGCTCATGCATAGTATAATATGGTGTGGGTTTAGTATTGTGTGTGTTTATCATAGCAAGTGCAATAATGTATGTTTTACAAATACTATACAACACAACAAGCAGAACTATGTAACATATATGAACACAGAATAATAACAAAGACAACATATATCGGGTCTTAGAATGACCTACTTAACATAAAAGAGAATAGCCAAAATACAAGTCGAGGTTAGTGACACAGAAAGAGACAGAACAATAAAATTAGCCAAAGGTCATGGATAGCAGAAACAGGGAAGGTAAAAAATACAAGCCAAAGTCAAATACCAAATAGAACTAGAGCAAGAAAGCACTCTCAGATAACCAACTAGTGGAAACCATGACAGAGCACTGGTAAAAAAAACTATCAAGGGTTTAAATGTGCCTCTCTAAGCAGTGATTGGGCAGATTGTGACCTATGACCCCAAAATGTGTGTGCATGTTGGCGCCATCTTGGTTGTGGGTGGAGGTAACAGAACCACAGCGGCCAGCATCCCTTAGAATGCTGCACCGGCTGAGGTCCGTTATACAAGAGGATCGGACGGAGATCCGCTAAGACCTAGGTAAGTAAACTTTCTTACTTTCAGAATAGCCGCACTGATCAGGTGTGGTCACGCCATTAGGAGAGTCAGGAGCCGTGACAGTATGTGCCTTTCAGTGTATTTGTGTCTGTGTGTGTGTCCTATTGTTCTCAATCTACACTGCCTCCCTTGGTAAACTCATCAGCTCCTTCAGATTCCGGCTCCTTCAGCTTAAGATCCTGATACTTGATTATAAATCCCTACACAATGCTGTTCCGACCTACTTATCCTCCCTAATACACAAATAAGTTCCATCTAGGCCCCCACGCTCTGCCGGAGACCTACATCTAACCTCTGTCCGTACTCCTAACTCTGATGCTACTTAAAGACTTCTATAGGGCTTCACCGTTCTTATGGAACCTTCCCCTCTCTGTTAGACTTTCACCCAATCTCCACTCCCTCAAAAAATATTTGAAAACTTACTTCTTTAGGAAAGCATAGGAAAGCATATCAATTAGACTCAGAGGCGTAACTAGAAACCACAGGGCCCCGGTAAGAAAATTGCCCTGGGGCCCCCCATACATCTACCTCCTACACCACACTTCCCTCCACCCACACATGCAGACAAACAGATACACATGCAGACACATGCATACATACATACAGACACACACATACACACACACACACACACACAGACCCATACATACAGACACACATACAAACACATGTAGAGACACACACGCATACACTCATATACACACACTCAGACATACACACACACTCAGACACACATACACTTGCAAACACACACATACATTTACAGACACAATACACTCAGATACACACTCACAAACACACATTCACACTCCCTCAAAAAATATTTGAAAACTTACTTCTTTAGGAAAGCATATCAATTACTCAGAGGCGTAACTAGAAACCACAGGGCCCCGGTACGAAAATTGCCCTGGGGCCCCCCATACATCTACCGCCTACCCCACACTTCCCTTCACCCACACATGCAGAAAAACAGATACACATGCAGACACATGCATACATACATACAGACACACACATACACACACACAGACCCATACATACAGACACACATACAAACACATGTAGAGACACACACGCATACACTCATATACACACACACACACAGGCAGACACACTCAGACACACATACATTTACAGACACACACACATTCAGACACACACAAATTATTAATATTAAATGTCCACCCAGCCTCTCTACCCGGAGAGCTGGCGTGGATCTGTCCATGGGGTCCAGTGGGGCTTCAGTGCGGCGGGCGGCAGAGTTCCTGTCAGAGGCGCCAAGGGAGCTGTGTTCTCTCTGCTCTACTCCCTCGCAGGCTGTCTACTGATGCTGGGAGCCGGAATATGACGTCATATTCCGGCTCCCGGCAAAGGCAAACGGCGCGCGAGGGAGCAGAGCAGAGAAAGCACAGCTCCCTCGCCACGTCTGGCAGGAACTCTGCCGCCTGCTGGGGGTCCATTAAGTGGCCAGCGGGCAACCTCATGGGCCCTCCTATGACAGGGGAAACACGGGGCAGCATTTTGGCGGCCCACAGTCACAGGGGTCATGGCTGTGGCCGGGCCCCATGCAGTGAGGGACCCGGTCGCAGCTGCGACCCCTGCATCCGTGGAAGGTACGCCACTGATTAAACTGAACAGCTTAACCTCCCCGCACCCTGATTCCTCTCCTGAAACTGTCATCAAAACAAAACAATACTATACTAGCAACTTACTTTTCTACCCTACCCTTACCCTTAAAATCCAATAAACAATGTTATTTTAAGAAAATAGATCAGCCCAGGCTTACAAACGTTGAAACAATTCACTAGGGTCAGACAGAATACAGCAATAGACACACTTTATTAACTTTAGGGTAGCCAAGATTCAAGTCACAATAGGAGAGGGTGGCTTGTAAAGAGACTTTCATAAGATGCTTTCAGCTATTCTTGTCTCTTATCCTTCCCCAATGCACACAGTGTCAGCAGCTGAAAAAAGGTGGCTTCCATTCTGTTAAGCAGGCAGTTCAAATTATTTTTATTTTTTTAGACTCAGGTCACTGCATGTGGATTTTCTGCAATTTTGCTTAATGTGTACAACACTGTTCTGGCAAGTGCTAAAAAAAAATCCAGTCATGTGTTTCCTGTAAGTGTCCGCCACTTCCTTCTGACATGGGAGACAAGGAGGGTGGAGCAAGCATGCATTTTTTTTTTACAATAGACTTTCAAATGCCTGAATATTGCATGGTTGATTGCAGTATCTTAAGATCTGAGACTGTAAATATGAGAAAAGGACTGAAAGGTCTTTATTCCTATCTTCTGTTAGTGCTTTGCTTTATCAACTTCTGGGCCTGCCAATCCCAGTCATACCACCTAATCTGTAAGTGTCCTTGGCTACACACCTGATACATCCATCTACCTCAAATCCGTGCAGATTGTAATCGTTTGAACATGGTGGAGTAGTAGCAGGAGTGCTAGCACGCATGTGCAGCACAGGAGACAGCTGATTCCCCTCCCCGGAAGTGACGTGGGTATAGCAATCTGACGGGGTATACCAAACTGATAGAACACCGGCCCTATCTACCTCTAATATCTATATCCCTTTAGTATAATTTGTTGGCACTATATAAATAATACAAAAAGATAAGTCCTGCGCTCACTCCCATCACTCCTGGGCTGCAGTATTGACCACAGTACACATCAGCTCCAATAATGTGGTCTTTTTGTATTTGTATTCACTTTTTGTATCACACAGCTAGGTTACAATGCTGCCGTCCATCCCGTGTGATCCGTATTAAGGGTTAACAAGTGTGTAGGGGTGTATATTAAAAAATACCCATTTATGTCTCATTAGAGATATCTGTGCCAGAAGCTCAAGGAAGCAAGGTAAAGGGTCATAGTAGGACCCGTCTAGAGGAATCTGCCTTGACGTTGGCAGGCGGGCATTCCCTCCAGTGGCCATTGGAGTAACTAAATGACCTCCATTTGTTTAAATATACATAGGGATTCAGGAGAGAGATATTTTTTTTCTTTACTATATAAATAATAATAATTTAATATTAGTGAGTCTCCGAAGCAGCAGGTGCTTCAACAGTGATTTAAATCAGACATTGATTGCACGATTCCTCCACTCTGTGTGTTTCAGATTTATACCAAAATACTTTTTCTACTACATCATAATTTCATTGGAGTCCTACAAGGTTTGATGGTGCTTTTAGAGTTTATCAACAATGTTTAAAAAAAAAAGTTAAAAAAAAAAAGTTTGCTTGAAAGTTGAAGAAAATAAATCTCGTTTTTATTTATTTTTTATTTTTTTATTTTATTGTTTTACAGTTATAGTTATTGTGTATGAAAGTTAACATTCCACCATAGAACCTGCTGTTCTTACATGTGAAACAAAATGGTTACACTTTATACTGCCTTTTTTGCCCTTTGGATATGAGCTATTTGCTCAAGTAAGGACCTTGATCTGCAAGTTGCACACGCCCTCTA